GAAAGAAAAGATTATAAATTTATTTAAAAAAATACTTAACAAAAGACTCAAGACGAAGGATTCCAATTACAGCATAAACTAATTTAGAGCTCTAAGAGGCATGGTCTTTTCAAGGCACTGAGAATGTGTATTATCTGTTTTTGATGTGGGTTTGATAACAGCAGTATTTTTTTTTTCTTTTTTTTAAACAACAGCAGTATTTTAATTCAGAAATAGGATTTACCCAGTATTCTATAACAGAAGGACATTTTGTGTTAGGAACTAAACTTCCAGTTTTCCAGATAAGAAAACCGAAGCTCGAAAGTAGCATATGGTTTGATTGAGACCAAACAGCTAAGATGGAAGTCATATGAGGACTTCCAGCTAGATGTGTGGTCTTCTCTCCCCTGCCTTCTGTCTTTCTGGTTTATCTAGGGTAGGATGTTCTGAGGAAGAATTCATCATGTTTTAATTTATTAAGATAGAATATGCATAAAAGCAAATGTTATTAACATTATGTTTTTTAAATATTCCAGATAATTGAGCCTTTCTCAATCAACAGGCTCTTCTATTTCTCATAGTATAATTATACCATAAGTGCAAGTAGACTCATATATCTGTGTTCTTCTGATGAAGTTTCTTTGGTTTCATAAATAGGCATTATATTGTCAGTAATCTTAATATGAGATGTGGAGGGCATACTTTAAGAAACTTAGTAATAATTTAATCAAGATCAGATTTAGAGTTGAAAACTTAATTAGGCAATGTCTAACATATACCACAGTATTGTTTTAAGACTAATACTAACTTTTATGTTTTTAGTGCCTTCCATTTTGGCCTGAAAATTTGTCAGGCAAACTTTGTGTGAGAGTAGTGGGCTGTGAAGGATCTTCCAAACCATTCTTTTATAACCGCCAGGATAATGGCACTTTATTGAGCATAGAAGATCTGGTAAGTTTTCATATTTTAAAATAAAATGTCTTTGGTTTTTAAAATTTACTTTAAAATATTTCATTAAACCATGCTATAAAAATGTACTAGCAATTATTTGAAGGTGCTTCTCTATCAACATATAATGCCATACATATATTTGTAACAGTTCAGAGCCAGTTTGTTTTCTATTAAGAACTTAAGAAAACAAAGCTTTTGTGTGTACATAACTGATTAAAATTCCATATGTAAGTGCAGGTTAAACCACTGCATCCAACATACTTTTTTTTTCTACAATAGAATTGTGGTATCTTGGTGGATGTAAACACTGCTGAACATTCAACTGTTATAACTTTTTCTGATTACCATGAAGGATCTGCACCTGCTCTGATAATAAACCATACACCTTGGGACATCCTCACATACAAACAGAGGTATGAAAAAAAAGAGTTAATGGAAAATCTGATTTGTTTTTATTGGTCCAGAGTCCCTTCTGAGAATCACTCAAGTTTCATGTTTCAAGTGTTTTCAGATTTTAGAAGGGTAAGATGGAGCACATGCTGTTTATTACTAATACCCTCAGCATGTTTTGAGATAGTACTCTGTAAACAAGCACACTAATATTTGTGCAATAAAACTTATGAATATTCACACCAAGTGGGATAAATAGGAAGTATTAATAGTTTCACATCAGTTCAGATCAGGTTTTACTGTCGAATGACTTTTAACACCCAAACTTCCAGACAAATCTTTGGGGTTTTGGAGCTTTTTAAATTCAGAATGGCAGATTAGGGAGTAAACCTGTTTAAGCACTATTTTTCCTTTGCAATCTGGTAATGGCCAATGAACTCTGTATAAATCTGTATTTAGTTTTTTTGGCTAGTACTGTAGAAGGTTAAATGGGAGAACAGTGAGTAGATAGTGGTGTTCAACGTGTAGTGTAGGCTGACAGGAGTTTTGTTGTTCATGCCTGTGCTGTCATTTGGCTTGGATGATGCTGTCATTTGATGGTGCATAGTTTAAGGCCTTAAACTATATGATAATAATTTACATATATACATCTATATACACATATAAATATATGCATGTATGTAGATTTCTTGAAGATTTTTTTATTCTTAACTCTCATGGAGTAAATCTAGTGAGAGATTTAAAAATACAGATTAGGATTGAATCCTAGTTGGATTACTTTTTTTTTCAGTTCTCTGGAATGTTTTTTGTATTATATGGACTGATATTTCTTAAACTTTAATAATTAATTTAAAAATTTCCTTAGAATCTTGTTAAGATGCAGATTCTGATTCAGTAGGTTTTGGGTGGGGTCCAGGGTTTTACATTTCCAGCAAGTCCGCAGGTAATGCTGACGTTGTTGGTACATAGACCACACTTTGTGCAGTAATGGTACGGACCATTTTTTTTTGAAACCTGTAATATATCTTAAGTATTATATTTGATTAAAAAGTTTAGCTGGGTGTGGTGATGCACGTCTGTAGTCCCAACTACTCAAGAGGCTGAAAAGGGAAGATCACTTGAGCCCAGGAATTCTAGGGTATAGTGCTCCATGATCTTCTTGCCTGTGAATAGCTACTATACTCCAGCCTGGGCAACATAGTAAGACCCCTTCTCTTAAAAAAAACTTTAAGCACTGAGTGTAGTTCTTCTGCTACTAAAGATATTTACTATTTATATTCATTTCTATAGGTGGACTCTGATGTGCCAATCTCTTTGCCTTAATGAATTCCATTGGCATGATTCTGCCTGGAACAGAGTATACTGAAGCTTTCGAAAGGGCAGTATTCTGTTTCTCCAAGCTAAAAACTATTAGTTTAGTGGACATTTTAGAGTACTTATTTTTAGGCAGAGTTGTGTTTTATTAACTAAGGCAATTTCATAGGACTTTTGTGCCAATCCCCTCATCAATAAACTATAGGTCTGGGTTTCTCAAGACCAAGATATTCTAATCTTCCCTCTGTTAATTGTGTTTTAGTGGGTCACTGGAACAAGTGGAGTTGCCACCAAGACAAGCTCGACTTTTTGCCTGGGCAGATCCTACTGGTACCAGAAAACTTACCTGGAAATATGCAGCAAATGTTGGGGAACACAATCTGTTAAAGGTATTGTTTGATGCTGTGTGAATTGCCTGCTTGCGAGGGAAATAAACAAGCCAGCTTTACCAAGTCTTCCTTGTCCTTACTGAACTAAAAATGAATTAGAAGTATTTTCGAAATAAATTACTTTTTGACTTTGGATTGCAAATACTATAGTTCAAACCAATATTATTTCTTCAGTTAATCCAAGTAGTTTATTTACAATTTAAAAAATATGCCTGCTTTATCTTGCCCGAGTAAAGACTAGTAGTAAAACATCTTTTTTGTATACATTTATAAAAGGAAGGAATTTTAAGTTAAGTGAAAATAACTTTATTTTGAACATATCTATACTCCTGTTGGCTGTTAGGTTTTTAGGCATGTAAGGCTATATGTTTTATTAGTGAAGTCAGATAGTATGTAAATTATCCCACGTAAGACATTTAATGAAATTTTTATTGAAATGATGTTTAGGTAGATAAATTAATTATGTTATTTCTTAGATTCTTACACTCTGAAATGGGCTTAAGAATTCATCTGCTAGTCTCCCACCTGATACAGGAATTGCTCCTGCATTAGTGATAGATCATCTAGTTTCTGAATGAATATATTCCATGAGGAAAGAGTTCATGTAGTGTCGTGTACCATTGTCCATTAATGCTAGTTGTTAAAAAGGGTTTTTTGAGTTTTGCTTTAAAGTGGTAATTGCCAGCAGTGATTGAATTATCCTCTTTTCTTCTCTCCTCACATTTAATACTACTCAGCAACCACAACTCCCAGTAAGTAGCATATAGACTCTAGAGAGAAAGTGGTAGTGACATTCTAGAGGAGGATTTAAAGGTCAGTGCGTAGAGGCAGATCCAGAAAGAATCCTAGTAACAGTATATGCAGGGATTTTAGTTTTTAATGTTTATCCTCTATTTGGTGTTAAAGAACTAGGCAGTAGGAAAAGCAGGTGATTCCACCTCAGTCAGCAGATAGACTGCCAGGTATTGAAAACTGAGCTAGAAGCAAGGAAATTGCCCATTTTCTTCCTTACTGAGATGACCTGAGAAGGGAGTTCTGCCCAGACCCAAGTGGACGTGACAAGGGAGTTTAAAGAAGATTCTTACATTGTTGGCAAACACTAGGTCTGCACAGATCTTTCTTTATTGAAATGTGAATAAACAGGAAAAAAACAACATGGGGTTTATGAAAAAAGTACTTCATGAGAAAAATGTAACATTATCCTGTAGATTCAGATGATAGTTACACCTCTGAAAATCTTTTTACTATGGGAACAAAAAAATTTCAAAATGGATGCCTGGCAGCCTCAACTAAGTTATAAAGATATGACAGCATAAAGCAGAAGAAAGCAAGACGAAATAAAAGACAAAAACAACAAACTACAGTGAAAAGGGAGAGGGGAAACGATAGAATATATGCATACTTTATATATACCATTTAATCTTAAATTTTAATTAGAGAAATTATATTTTAAAAAGATGGTATCTTTTTAAAAAAGCTGTTGATTAGAACTGTTATAAAATCAGTGAGAAAGGAATTTCAGAATAATTGAGAAAATGAAAATAAAGCAAACTTTGCCCTTGTAATAAAAGAAGGAAACCTAAGAAAGTATGTAATAAGTGACAGATAACGTTTTATTCAATGCATATCATATATTAATGCTTTTCATATATTATTATTAATTCTTATAACAGGAATTTAGGATTTCTGGTTGGGATTAAAAGCCAGATCTGACTTCAGAGTCCATGAACTTTTTCCACTAGACCACACTTCCTATCAATTTTGTCAGTAAATGAAAACAGTTTGAATTTTCCCATTAAAAGACAAAAACATTCAAATTAAATTAAACAATAATATCTAACTATATGCTACTTCTAAGAGATCTTCCTTAATTAAAGTGACACAGAAAATTATAATCATAAAGAGATGGTAAAGATTTAACAGGCAAATGAAGTAAAAAGAAAGCAAAGTTGTTTTTAATTTCTTTCTTTTTTTATTGATCCATAATGTACATATTTTGGGAGTATGTATGATATCTTGATACAAGCATATAATGTGCAATGATCAAATCAGGGTAATTGGGATATCCATCACCTCAAACATTCTTTTTTTAATATTGGGACCATTCCGATTCTTCTCTTCTATTTTGAGCTATACAATACGTTATTAACTATAGTAACTCTACTGTCAAACAGTAAATTTTCCTCCTTGTAACTGTATTTGTGTACCCATTAAATAACCTCTCTTCATCCCTTCCTCCCTCTTACCCTTCTCATCTTCTGGTAACCACCAATCAACTCTCTACTTCAATGAGATCCGCTTTTTAAGCCTCCATGTTTGAGTGAGAACATGCAGTGTTTGTCTATGCTTGACCACTTCACTTAACATAATGACCTCCAGTTTTATCCATGTTGCTCCAAATGACAGGATTTCATTTGTTTTTATGGCTGAATAATATTCCATTCTGTATATGGACCACATTTTCTTTATCCATTAATCCATCGATGGACACTTACATTGATTCCTTATCTTGGCTATTGTGAATAGTGCTGCAATAAACGTGGGAGTGCAGATATCTCTTCAATACACTGGTTTCCTTCTTTTGTATCTATACCTAGCATTGAGATCACTGGATCATATAGTAGTTCTATTTTTAGTTTTTTGAGGAACCTCCATACTGTTTTCCATAATGGCTGTAGTAATGTACATTCCCACCAACAGTGTGCTAGCTTTCCCCTTTCTCTACTTCCTTGAAAGTGTCCATTATTTTTTCATTAAAGTCTTTCTAACTGAAATGAGGTGATATCTCATTGTGGTTTTGATTTACATTTCCCTGATGATTAGTGATATTGAGCATTTTTTATGTACTTGTCCCTTTGTATGTCTTGTTTTAAAATATGTCTGTTCAGATCCTGAGCCCATCTTTAAATTGGATTACTTATTTTTTGCTATTGAGTTGAGTTTCTTATATATTCTAGTTTTTAATCTCTTATCAGACTAATTGTTTGCAAATATTGTCTTCCATTCTGCAGGTTGTCTCTATACTTTGTTGATTGTTTCCTTTGCTGTGCAGAAGCTTTTTAGCTTAATGTAATCGCATATGTCAATTTTTTGCTTTTGTTACCTGTGCTTTTGAGGTCTTACCTAAAAAGTCTTTGTCCACACAATATCGTGAAGTGTTTCCCCAATGTTCTCTTCAAGCAGTTTCATAGTTTTAGGTCTTAGATCTAAGTGTTTAATCCATTTTGATTAGATTTTTATATATGGTGAGACATAGGGGCCTAGCTTCATTCTTCTGCATATAATTATCTAGTTTTCCAAGCACCATTTATTGAAGAGAACATACATATTTCCAATGTATGTTCTTGGCATTTTTGTTGAAAATGAGTTGGCTATAAATGTGTAGATTTATTTCTGGGTTCTCTGTTCTGTTGATCAATGTGTCTGTTTTTGTGCCAGTACCATGATGTTTTGGTTACTATGGCTTGGTAGTGTATTTTGAAGTCAGGTAGTATGATGCGTTTAGCATTATTCTTTTTGCTCAGTATTGCTTTGGCTATTTGGGGTCTTCATGGTTCCATACAAATTTTAGGATTGTTTTTTCTATTTCTGTGAAGAGTGTCATTGTTATTTTGATAAGAATTGCGTTGAATTTGTAGATCACTTTGGGTAGTACTGACATTTTAACAATATTAATTCTTCCAACCCATAAACATGGGATATTATTCCATTTGTTTTTTTGTGTCTGCTTCAATTTCTTCCGTTAGTGTTATATAGTGTTCTTTTGCAGAGCTCTTCTTACTTCCTTGGTTAAATTTATTCCTAGGTATTTTATATTTTTTGTAGCTATTATAAATGGGTTGGTTTCTTGATTTCTTTTTCAGTTTGTTTACTGTTAGTATATATAAATGCTACTGATTTTTGTATGTTGATTTTACAACAGACTGAATTCGTTTATCAGTTTTTACAGTTTTTTAGTAGAGTCGTTAGGTTTTTCTAAATTAATACCATGTTACCTGTGTATAAGGATAATTTGACTTCTTTTTTCTTCAGTGGTACCCTTTATTTCTTTATCTTGCCTAATTGTTCTGGCTAGGACTTCCAGTAGAAAGATAAAAGTGGTGAAAGTAGGCATCCTTGTCTTGTTGTAGATCATAGAGGGAAGACTTTCAATTGTTCCCGATTCAGTATGATCTGAGCTGTTAGTTTGTTATATATAGCCTTTATTGTTTTGAGATACGTTCCTTCTATACCCAGTTTCTTGAGAGTTTTTATTACAAAGAGATATTGAATTTTGTTACATGTTTTTCCAGGCTCTATTAAAATAATCATACAAATTTTGTCCTTGATCCTGTTAATGTTATATATATCAAGTTTTTTGATTTATCTATGTTGAACTATCTTTGCATCCCTGAGATGAATCCCATTTGATCATAGCGATTGATCTTTTTAATGTGTTGTTGTATTTGGTTTGTTAGTATTTGGTTGAGGATTTTTGCAACTTTTTTCATCAGGAATATTGGCCTGTGGTTTTCTTTTTTTGTTGTGTCTTTGTCTGGTTTTGGTATTAGCATACTGCTGGCCTTATTATGAGTTTGGAATTATTCTCTCATTTTTAGTTTTTGGGAATAGTTTGAGTAAAATTGGAATTAGTTTTTTAAATGTTTGGTAGAATTCAAACATTGAATCCATCAGGTTCTGGGCTTTTCTTTGATGGGAGACTTTTTATTACTGCTTCAATTTTGGTACTTCTTATTGGTCTGTTCAGGTTTTCTGTCTCATCATGGTTCGATCTTAGTAGGCTGTATGTGTCCAGGAATTTATCCATTTCTTCTAGGTTTTGTTGGTGTATAGTTGTTCATAATAGTTTCTAATGATCCTTTTCTTTCTGTGGTATCAATATCTCTTTTTTGTTTGATTTTATTTATTTGGGTCTTCTCTCTATTTTTCTTAGTCTAGCTAAAGATTTGTCAATTTTGCTTATCTTTTTAAAAAACCAACTTTTTGTTTCATTGCTCTTTTGTAATTTTTTTAGTCACAACTTCATTTATTTTTGCTCTGACTTTTACTATTTTTTTCCTTACACTAATTTTGGGTTTGATTTCTTCTTGCTTTTCTAGTTCCTTAAGGTCCATCATTAGGTTGTTTATTGGAATCATTCTACTTTTTTGATATAGGCTTTTATTGCTAAAAACTTCCTTCTTAGTACTACTTTTGTTGTATTGTGTAGACTTTGGTATGTTGTATTTCTGTTTTCATTTGTTTGAAGAAATTTTTAAATGTCCTTCTTAATCTCTTCATTGACCATTGTTTGCTCATACGCATGTTGTTTAGTTTCCATGTGTTTGTATATTTTCCAGAGTTCCTTTTGTTATTGATTTCTAGTCTTATTCCATTGTGGTCAGAAAAGATACTTGATATGATTTTATGAATTTGTTGAGACTTGTTTTGTGGCCTAAAATATGGTCTGTCCTGGAGAATGTTCTGTGTGCTGATGAGAAGAATGTGTATTCTGCATCAGTTGGATGAAATGTTCTGTATTCAGTTAGGTCCTTTTGGTCTAGAGTATAGTTTAACTCCAGTGTTTCTTTGTTGGTTTTCTCTCTGGATGATATGTCTTACCGAGAGTAGGTTATTGAAGTCTCCTATTATCATTGTATAGAAGTCTGTCTCTCCCTTTGAATCTATTAATGTTTGCTTTATATATCTGGGTGCTCTGGTATGGGGTGCATATATATTTACAACTTCTATATTCTCTTACTGAATTGACTCCTTTATCATTTTATAGTGAACTTATTTGTCTCTTTTTACAGACTTAGACTTGAAATCTATTTTATCTGGTGTTAAGTATAGCTACTCCTGCTCTTTTTTGATTGCCAGTTACTTGAAATATCTTTTTCTGTCACTTCACTTTCAATCTATGTATGTTTTTATAGGTGAAATGAGTTTCTTGTAGGAAACATATTATTGGGTCTATTTTTTTTTATTCATTCAGCTACTTTGTCTCTCTTAACTGGAGAATGTAGTCCATTCACATTTAATGTTATTATTGATAGGTAAGGACTAACTACTGCCATTTTGTTACTTGTTTTCTGATTGTTTTGTAATCCTCTCTTCCTTCCATCACCTGGTTAAATTACTTTCTCTGGTAGTGTGTTTTGCCTTGTTGCTTTTTATTTTTGGTGTATTTGTTACAGATTTTTGCTTTGTAGTTACCATGAATATAAAAAACATCTTATAGATATAACATGTTATTTTAAAAAAGATGACCACTTAACTTTGGTCACAAAGAAAAGAAAGAAACAAAGGAAAAACTGGAAAACTCTACATTTTAACTTCACCCCCCCACATTTTGATTTTATGTCATTTCAATTTACATCTTTTTATATTGCCTATTTCTTAACAGGTTGCTGTAATTATTATTTTTGATAAATTTATCTTTTAGTCTTGACTATAGAGATACGAGTGTATTACACATCACAAATACAGTATTAGAGTATTCTGAATTTGTATGTGTACTTACTTTTACTGATGCGTTTTAGAGTTTTATACCTTCAAATGTTTCCTCCCTCCCTCCCTTCCTTCCTCCCTTCCTCCCTTCCTTCCTTCCTTCCTTCCTTTCTTTCTTCCATTTTTTTTTTTTTTGAGACTAGTCAAGTGAAGCAGTGGGAGTAGAGAAGGAACATAGAAATCTGTAAGTGGTTGTGATCAATTAATTGTAAACATCCACTGCACTCAGACCAGCCCAGATGTTTTCCTTTTACACATTAGTATCCTTTTCTTTCATATTGAAGAACTCCCATCAGCATTTCTTGTAAGATGGGTCTAGAGGTGATGAATTCCCTTGGATTTTTTTTTCCCCCCCTAGGAAAGACTTGATCTCTCCTTCATGTTTGAAGGAAAGCTTTGTTAGGTTTAGTATTCTTGGTCGACAGTTTTTATTTTTCTTTTCCCCCTTCAGCACTTTGACTATATCATCTTACTCCCTCCTACAGGTTATGGTTTCCACTGAAAAGTCTGTTGCCATACAAATCACAGCTCCTTTATACGTTGCTTGCTTATTTTCTCTTGCTGCTTTTGAGATCCTCTTTGCCTTTGACCTTCAGGAGTTTGATTATTATATGTCTTGGAGGGTAGTCATATTTGGGTTGAATCTGTTTGGTGATTTCTAACCGTTCTGTACTTGGATATTTATATCTTTCTTTAGGTTTGGAAAGTTTTTTGCTAATATTTCTTTGAATAAGCTTTTTACCCCTTCCTCTTTTTCAGCTCCCTCTTGACCACCAGTGATTCTTAGATGCACTCTTTCAAGGTTATTCTCTATTTCTTGGAGACATTGTTTGTTCTTTTTCATTCTTTTTTCTCCTGATTGTATTTTCCTACAGTCTTTCTTAGAGCTAACTGATTCTTTCCTCTGTTTGATCCATTCTGCTTTTGGGAACCTCTAATTAATTTTTACAGTTCAGCAAATATATTTCTTAGTTCCAGTATTTCTGTTTAATTTTTAAAATTTCAATCTCTTTGTTAAATTTCTCTGATGAATTTCTGAATTGCTGGAGTTTGCTGAATTTCCTTAGAACTGCTATTTTGAGTTCTTGATCTGAGAGTTCATACATTGCTGTCTCATTAGGGTTGGTCACTGGCTCTTTGCTCCATTTGGGGAGATCGTGGTTCCGTTTGCTGTTGTTTCTTGTGGACATACGTCTATGACTTCACATCGAAGGATTAATTATTCCAGTCTTTGTTCTCTGTTTTAGGTATTTCTAGGTTATGTTTGCTTAGAGGTCCTTTGCAGTAGTTGCCTGTGAGCCCACTTAATCCTAGATTAATGCATATTTTCGCCACTAGATGGCACCTTAAGCCCAGATTTGCCTTGCTCTCGGAAATATTGGCATATTGCTTCTCCTGGGTGGTAGGGGATCCCAAAAGTGATACCCTGGCTGTATGGAAAGGCTGGCTAGGGGTTCATACCCAGAAGACCCAGGGACTGTGCCTCCTGTAATGTGATGCTGCTGAACAGCCACTCTGAATTGGCATCTCCTTTGACTGAGATAAAGTGCAGGGTTTCGTGGGCTGGGGTTTCTAGTCCAGCTTTCTCTCTTTGTCTCTACCTGTCCTCATGGGTTTTTCTCCCCGTAGGCATTGGTGATGCTTCCCATGGTTGAGGCAGGCATGTTCTTCCTGCAAGGGAACCCAAGATGGTGGGAAAACTGGCTGTCCACCGTGATCTCTCTTTTTCCAATGTAGAAACCATGAGTGCAGGAGGAATTTTCCATATGTGGTATTTGGCATATTGTGGGAGGAGCATCACAGATAGAGAATTTTGTTTCTCTTACCATCTGCTTGGAGTTTTTCACTTCTCTGTGGTCCTAGGGAACATCTCAGCCTCAGATTTGAGTTCTGAGATATTGCTGGTAATAATCTTGGCACTGATGTTGTGTTTGGTCTTGTGGGAAACAGTGATTGCTTCCACTCTGCCATTGTGATGACATCACTCTCTCTGTTGATTTTAATTTCTCACCAATTATAATTTAAAGCAAAACTATTACATCGATTATGATAATATGACAAAGAAAGAATGATCGCCATGAACCTTCATGCAATGAATAGCATCGCGTCAGTATATAAAACTTAAAATGCAAGAAACTAGCTGAAATACAACTGATTAGGGATATTTTAACATACCTCATTTAATGTTTAACAGATCTGATAGATGAAAAGCAAATAGAATCAGTGTATTGGAATAATAACTGAGATTGAACTAAGATACATATCAAATTTTGTAGTTTACAAAGAAAATTCACCTTCTTAATAAGTAGGTATTTCAGAAATTTGGCATTAAGAGTAAAAAAAAAATTGGACAGACTACTTTGACCATATAATATACCTCAAAAGTAATAATAAAATTTAAATGACAACATTCAGCTATTTCTATGATCTTGGTAACATCATTTATTTGTTTTTTGTTTTTATTTCCCCCTCAAGAAAGCATGAGATGAAAAGTATATAGTAGGTACTTGTACTGCCTATTGAGATGACCTGTTGTTATATTTATGTTAAGCCCAGAATGAAAAAACATTTATTATTATTATTTTAGTCTCTGAAAACAGTGACCAAACCAAGCCTAGTATTTTTAAGTGCTGTATGTAACCCTCATCCAAGAAGGCTGTTCTTAGTGAAGCTTAGTACAAACTGATCACCATAGTTGACTCTTTGACAATGTGATTTACATAAATATTTCCTTTGTTGTAGATTATTACAACATAAAAATAAACTAAGTTAGTTTTGCCTGAGATTACTTTTCTAATGAAGTTGTGAACCATTCTGTTCTCCAGCTTGGAGACAAATTATCATGTTATGGCATTGTTGCCACCAAATGATACTCTTGTTCCTGCTCAGTGCCCTTTGAGCACTAATTAGATAACTCAAATTAAGGTATAAAAAACTAAGCACTATTAATCATAGTCATTGTTTGAAAATAATTGGTGAGTATGTTTTAAAGTAAATTATAGCTTTATTTACATCATTTTGATGGTTACAATTTTTTAGTTTATACGCTTTTCAAACTTTTCTAATCTTTCTCAGTTTACCATGGTTCAATTTCATGTAATAAAAACTTCCTTTGTGTAGGTTTAACAAAAAGTCTTTCTGTTTCTAAGGATGAATGTGGACAGTTTCCCTATGATGCAAACATTCAGATACACTGGGTATCATTTCTGGATGGGCGCCAGAGAGTTTTGCTTTTCACCGATGATGTTGCCTTGGTTTCCAAAGCACTGCAGGCAGAAGAAATGGAACAGGCCGATCACGAAATAACCTTGTCTCTCCACAGTCTTGGGCTTTCACTGGTTAACAATGAAATCAAACAGGAAGTTTCATATATTGGGATAACCAGGTATGTAAGAAGAAAAATAGACATCAGAAACCTTTAAAGGGCATTGAGCTCATAATATCCAGTTTGATGAGAGTAAACTGATACCTGATCTGAATTTCATGTGCTGTACATTCATTCAGTAAAACTTAGTGAATAATTGTGTGAACTGCTAGCTAAAAAGCCCCAAGGATAGAAAGATGACTAAAATATTGTCTTTGCCTTCACAATACTTGTTGTTGGTTGGTGGAGAAAAAAAATGGTTTACTTCTTTCTTTGTTGTTTGAATGTGTTTTTTAAAACGATTTATAAAAACACTGAGAAATTATACAAAGATGGATGTACATGTGCAAGAGAAATACAGAGGTAGGAGTAACTACTTTGTTTTGTGCAATAGAAGTTGGAAAAAATGGCATGGGTCAGGGGAAAGCAACAGAAATAAATTGGAAAAAAGGTTCGTAGAGAATGCAGTATTTGATATGAGTATTTCATCTTTAATGGGTAGTCATTTAGTACTTTTTAATACTTATGAGACCACTTATTTTCTCTGGTTCTGTTTATACCTATATAAAAAATACATTTGAATATTTATTTGGTTTTTTAAATGACATTTAATTTGGTAGAAGACTCATTCTTTTTTTGGAGGCTGATGAGCGGAAAGGTGAACATGATACCAAATATAACCAGCATGAGATCTATCAATAATCATGTGTTCAGGGAATTAAAAGAAAATTAAAGCGAAAATTAAGTAAATAAAGAGATAGTGTATGTAATTCTCTTTGTATAGCACCTGACAAGTTACAGGTTCTATAAATGGTATCATACATACCATTAGTATAATATTAATATATTTGCATGTATATAAGTAGTATATTGTCTTGGTTATACAGTTCAGTATTATATGGTATTTTTAAGCAAATGTGAAAATTATTTTTAGTCATATAGATCTCTTTTGTTCTTTGATATAACTTCCTTTTAATATTACAGATGCTATTGTATTTTGTCAGGTTGGCCTTTATTTATGAGGCCATTTTAAAATTCATCTAAAAGAACTTGATTATCTTTTTTCTCACATGGTATACATTCAATAAAATCTAGGTTTTAAAAGAAATAATAAGCCAGTTACATAATTTTTTTAAAAAGACTCTTTGTTTTTAAAGCAGCTTTAGGTCTAGAGAAAACTTTAGTATAGAGTATTGAGTTCCCATATACACACAACCCTGTTTGCCCTATTATTAACATCTTGCAGTGGTGTGGTACCTTTGTTACTATTGATGAGCTAATATTGATACTACATGACTATTATCTAAAGTCTGTAGTTCATATTAAAGTTTATTCTTTGTGCTGTGCATTCTGTGAATTTTGACAAATGTGTAGTAACATATATTCACCATTACAGTGTTAAATAGAGTAGTTTCACTGCCCTGAAAGGTCTCCTGTCTTCCTCATGTTGATCTCTCCCTCCTACCCCCAACCCCCTGGAAACTACTGATCTTTTTACTATCTCCAAAATTTAACCTTTTTCAGAATTTCATGTAGTTGGAATCATAGAATATGTAGCCTTTTCAAATTGGCTTCTTTCACTTAGCAATATGCTTTTAAGGTTCCTCCATTTCTTTTCATGGCTTGATAGCTCATTTCTTTTTCTCATTGAATAATATTCTATTGAAGGAATATCTGTTCAACTATTAAAGGACAGCTTGGTTGCTTCCACATTTTGGCAAGTATGAATAATACTGCTATAAACATTTGTGTTAAGGTTTTTGCATAGGCATAAGATTTCACCTCTTGCAGGTAAATATCAAGGAGTGTGATTGCTGCTTATGTGATAAAAGTGTGTTTAATTTTGTGAGACCAAATTGTCTTCCAAAGTAGCTGTACTTTGCATTCTCATTAGCAGTAAATGAGAGCTGTTCCACATCCTTGTCAACATTTGTTGTTGTCAGTGGTTTGGATTTTAGTCATTCAAATAAGTATGTAGTGATATCTCATTGTTGTTTTAATTTGTAGTTTCCTGTTGACATATATTGGTGAGCATCTTTTAATATGCTTATTTGCCATTTGTATATTTTCTTTCATGAGCTGCGTGTTTAGATCTTTTTCCCAGTTTTTAATTGGGTTGTTTTGTTATTGTTGAGTTTTAGGAATTCTTTGTGTATGTTGGATACCAGTTTTTTATCATGTATGTGCTTTGCAAATATTTTCTCCCAGTCTGTGGCTTGTCTTTTCATACTCATAAACAGTGCCTTTCACAGAGCAGAAGTTTTAAATTTTAATGGAGTACAACTTACCGATTTTTTCTTTCATCGATTGTGTTTTGGTGTTGTATCTGAACGTCACCTAGATTTTTTCCTGTTATCTTCTAGGAGTTTTGTAATTTTGTGTGTTACATTTGATTCTAATTAAATTTGAGTTAATTTTTGTACAAGTTGTAAGCTCTCTGTGTAGATTCATTTTTGTTGCATGTGGATGTCCAGTTGTTTCAACACCATTTGTTGAAAAGACTGTTTTTTCTCCATTGAATTGCCTTTGCATTTTTCCAAAGATCAGGTAACTGTATTTCTTTGAGTCTATTTCTGGGTGTCCTGTTCTGTTTGATTGATTTGTCTGTTTTTTTTCAACAATAATACTCTGTCTTCATTACCATAGTTTTATAGTAAATCTTGAAGTTGTATAATATCAGTCTTCCAACTTTGCTCTCTCTTTCAATATTGTATTGGCTCTTTTGGGTTTTTTGCCTTTCCATATAAACTTAGAATCAGTTTGATAGTATTCACAAAATAATTTTCTGGCATTTGATTGGAATTGCATTGAATCTGTAGATCAACTTGAAAAGAACTAACATCTTGAAAATATTGAGTCTTCATATCTCTGTACATGTAATATCTCTCTCTTTATTTAGATCTTTGATTTCTTTCATCAGATTTTCATAATTTTCCTCATATAGATCACGAACATATTTTTAAAATTTTTGTTTATACCTAAATATTTAATTTCTTTGGTGCTAATATAGATAGTATTGTGTTTTTATTTCAAATTCCAATTGTTTATTGCTGGCATATAAGAAAGCAATTGACTTGTATATTAACCTTGTATCTTGCAACCTTGTTATAATTGCTTATTAGTTACAGCGGTCTTTTTTTTTTTTGGTTCTTGTTGATTTTGGGGATTTTCTATGTAGACAATGTCACCTGTGAACAAAGACACTATTTCTTCCTTCCTAAATTTATTTTCTTGTCTTATTGCGTTATCTAGGACTTCTAGTATAGTGTCGAATGGGAGTGGTGAGAATGGACATACTTGCCTTATTCCTGATAATAGTGGGAAAACGTCTAGCTTCTCACTATGAAGTGTGATGTTAGCTATAGGTTTTTTGTAGATGCTCTTTATCAAGTTGAGGAAGTTCCCCTCTATTTGTAGTTTGCTCAGAGTTTTTATCATGAATAGGTGTTAGATTTATATATTTTATAGTAGATATTGTATTCACTATCTTCATTGTCTGGTATCCCCTAAACACATATATTGAGGACATTGTTAACACTGTCATTGACTAATATCAATAAGCTATATAAATTAAGATGTGATAGATTTATATTTTATCATTATTAAAGCAATATTCTCTGATTCAAGTGTCAGCAAAGTATGGCCTGTGAGCCAAATCTAGCCTACTGCCTGTTTTTGTACAGCTTTTGATCTATGAATGATGTTCTACATTTTTACATAGTTGAAAAAAATCCAAAGAATAATATTTTATAACACATTAAAGTTATGAAATTTAAAGTTTGTTGCTCATAAATAAAGTTTTATTGAAACACAGCTATTTTTATTCTTTTACATGTCTGTAGCTACTTTTGTGCTGCTACTCAGTGCACTACAAATCATAGTGTTTGAGTGTCATATATATTGCCATACTGCAATATTTATTTATTTATTTATTATTACCAATGTAACCCATCATGTCAAAACAAGAAGAGAAAAGTGGACTTTGAATTCGCTTTTTTAGGGCATAATGGAATGTAGATTATCTTCTTATCAAATTTATGGCAAAGCATTATTTTATTATGTAATGACACTAGAGTCAATGTTCATAAACTAAGTTTTATCACATTTCCAAACCACAGGAAAGCAATGGCCAGAAAAATTAGAAAATTTAAGGCACAATATCTCATCACAGCAGAATTTCTTCACAAAAATATAAAACAATAATGTGGCTGTGTTTCGGGGGAATCCTGGGACAGTGTAGAAAAACCAGCCCCCAAACTCAGAGGGAGCCAAAAGACCAAAGAATGACTCAGACAAGTCCAGCTTGTCAGTTAGATGAGTTTATTGGAGATTACTTACAAGGGCACTTGCTCCTGGGTGGCACAGCAATTTCTTCCATAGGAGCTTGCTTGCACACAAAAATCCACATCTGCCCACCTTGTGATGTTGCTTTAAATCCCTTCCCAGTGAGTAATGCAGAGCTTTTACATTGTGTCATTGCTTGTCCACAATGAAATAAATCACACATAAGCAGTACCATCATCATGCTATCATGCAACCCATGTAATGTTAATGGTATTACAGTTTTCCACTGGGCAGCGATTTTAGCATTACAATTAGCTAAAGGGTACTACTGTAGGACAACCAAAACAGCTCAGGGTCACTTGAGCCAGCTGTTTTAGGGCAAGAAAGTGCTGGGCACCTTTTCTGATCCCAGTAGTTACCTTGGTACCTGCCTAATCTACTTTGTGACAATTTTGCTGAGCATTCCAGGCTAGCACACTCTGTGGTGGGGAACCTGCATTTTTCCTTCAGGGTGCAACCAAAGTTAAGTTTCTGAGTGACTCATTTGTGAGCCAAGCAAGAAAAGCCTTTTAATTGAATCATTTCTGATTTCAGCAGCTAAAGAAATGTGTCTTGAGAAAATAAACTTGTTTAAAGCTATTAGCCTTCCAGTGAGAACAGTTGCTTAAAGAATTGAGGACATTCAGAGCAACATCAATAGTCAATTAAAAAAACAAGGCAAATGATGTTGAGTGGTTTTCCTTGGCTCTTGGTGAGTCAACAGATATTACCAGTTGTGTATTTGTGGAGTCAATGCTGAGTTTGAAGCGACTGAAAAGTTAGCCTCTGTGAGTCTGCCTAGAACAAATACAGGTGAGAGTATTTTCAAACATGTTGAGGAAGTAATACTTTAGTGTAAGCTGAAGTGGAATCTTCTAAGATATATTACAACCAATTGTGGGAAAAATATGTGTGGAGCAGAAAAAGACTTAGTTGGACAAATTTACAAAGCTTGTGAAAATGTAAAGCATTGAAAGCATTTGTCAGTAGGTACTTAGTGGAAAATATTAGATAGAATCCATCGTGTGTTATCAAACCATTAGCATCAAACACTGAATTTTATTAAGTCTTATGGACTGAATCATCATTTTTGTGAATTTTTGTCAGAAGTAGAAGCTGAATTTCCTGATTGGTGTTACTACACTGGAGTTTGATGACTTAGCAGCAGTAACTTTTTATTATACTCTTTTTGAGTTCTAGGCCAAGGTTAAAATTTTTCTGAACAAAAAGAGCCACCCTCAACGACTGTTACTGAATAGTGAATGGGTTTGGAAATTAGCTTTTGTCACAGAATTGATACTGTTTCTAAATGAATTTCAATCTAAAATTGGAAGGCAAACAGTACTTACATGTACAACTTGTACTGCACTAAAGCCATTTCAAAGACAACTAATGTTTGAATCACAAGTAATATCAAGCTGTTTTATATATTTCCTGTGTTGGCCAAAGTTAAAACAAGAAGCAAGATCTCCACTCTCATACATATTTTGAGAGGGTATATTTTATGACCTGCAACTTTAGTTCCAGCAACATTTTTCCCAACCCAATGCAAATGCAAATTTCCTCCTTTCAAAATCCATTTGTGCAGTTGAGGAGCTTCCATCTAACCTTCAATTGGAAGTGATTGATCTGCAATGTATTGATATACTGAAAGGCAAATATCAAGAGAAGAATTTAATAGAATTTTATAAATGCCTTCCAAAAAAGTAAATAAATGCCTTCCAAGTGATATATATGCTCAATTAAAATAATATATTCTCATAGATCAGTATCAGTATTCAGCAGTACCTATCTGTGTGAAAGGACATTTTTAAAGATGCTCATTACAGAACAGCATTAACAGATGAAGATTTGCAATTGATTTTGATAATAAGTAGCAGTAATTAGGTCAAATGTCACTTGCTCAAAAGAAGTTTAGTTTTCTCATAAATAGACTTGTGTTTTTAAAAATTATACTCAAGTATTATTTTATATTTTAAATTTCATCAGTTAAAAAATTTATGGAAGATTTTTTTTCTCTCTCCTGAGTACCTGAGTAATAACCTCAATTTCGCCTCAGCACACAAAGCCTTTAAAACATTTATAATATGGCCCTTTGCAAAAAAATGTTTGCCCAGTTCCTTAATTAATTGATGTCAATGTGTGATAAAAAATATTTTCTTCCCTGCCCCCTGTCTTTATATAATTTTGCAACACAGATACAGTTTTGTATTTCATAAAATTTCTTGTTATCAGTATAATTTTTATAGAAGGTTGATAGTTACAATAATCTGGAGTTGAATAAAAGTTCTACAAACCTAAATATGTATTTCTGACTTAATTTTCTTTGTGAATTATTTTAGTTCTGGTGTTGTTTGGGAGATGAAACCAAAACAGAAATGGAAGCCGTTTAGTCAAAAGCAGATAATCTTATTGGAACAATCCTATCAGAAATACCAAGTTTCAAGAGACCCTGGCTGGATTAAGCTAGACAGTAATTTTGAGGTATATCAAAATTTTTTTGTTTTGATTTTTATGTGTGTATTTTGTTGTGTTGATGGTGGTAGTAAGCAATATTTTAATGCCCAAGTAACGATGTGTGCAGAAACTAATAATATATTAGTATATTTTCAATTAAAACATATTGTTATTAACTCATATACCATGAAATAGAACTTAAGCCTGTTTTTCTTCTGTATTTTTATAATTTGTTCTATATACAAATCAGTTTCATGGAACTTGTTTTGTTTTCAGTAAGATTATAGAGAAGTTAAAATTGCTCCTTGAAACTTTGTCTCTTATGATTTGAATGATGCTAATATATATGACTAAATATAAATGTAGTTTATTGATGGAAAACATACAAAACTTGCTCAGTTCGGTTCATTAAATGTGAATGATTGTTGGACGTGAGTAGGCATCCACAAATAAAGGTGTGCCTTATATGGGTTCTTACACAGTTAAAACTACAAGTCACTCACCTTTGCTCCAAGAAGACTCCAGAAGCTTGACTGCAATTTCCAGCTTGCAGTGGTTTAATCATGCAGTTAACTTACTCTTTGTTTTTGGTGTCTGATGGTTCAGTTTGCACTGGTCAGCACTTACGTTCCCTATCTACTGTCATCAATGTTAACTGTACTTAAATGAAAAAAACTATATAATTAGTGTCACATATAAACAAGCTATTAACTATTCATTGTAGAACAAAGTTTAAGAACTATCTGGATTTATCCTTTACTTTTGAAATTTTTTTTACATAAAGCATTTTTTTTTCAGAACAATTTCTGTAATTAAAAAGTTTCACAATTGTTTTCTTGTTTTTCTAATAGTTTGTTGGAAAAGTTATGCTTCTGCTTCAAAGATTTCAACTGTAGGTCACCTTGAGAGAGAGCTTTTTGTGAAACACAGAGATAAAAATAATTTTTTCTTTCAATTTGATAAACAAACAGATATTTAAAATGGAATAGATACTGCGCTAATACCAGCTCATCACAAAACCATGTGCTTTTTCTTCCAGGTCAATTTTAATAAAGTTCCAATGGAAATGCGCCTTCCTATTCGGTGCCCTATAAAACGAGATTTTTTATCAGGGATTCAGATTGAATTTAAGCAGTCTCGTCACCAGAGAAGTTTAAGGGCCAGGTTGTACTGGCTTCAGGTAACATCATCATCCTCAATTAAGTAGCTATTTCTCATCACTGTGGGACTCTTGGGAATGAAATTTCTTACTGTAATTGGTATCTTTTCTTTTTGTTTGGGTGTTTTTTTCCCCTTCTCCCACATATCCTGTGGATTCAACATCTTACTTATAGTCTAAGTCCAAAGATCTTGTGACTATTGAGACTATTTAATTTGACCAGTTGGCATGCGGAAATGTTTTTTTGCACTGAGATTATATTATTGTTAAATATTTCTTTGAATTTGTCATGGGGTACCCAAATAAGACTTTCCATTGTCATTCTGCATGGCAAAGAGCAGAGCTTTCGTACTGGGAGTTCTTTCCGACGCTTGCTTGGTCCTCTCAGCCTCTCTCCCTTCCTTCCTTTTAACTATTAAATACTATTTAGAACATTTTTATTCTTTTTCTACCTGTCCTCTTGTTTCATAGACAGTCTCTACTTACAGTTTATTTAAACCATAGACAATTGAAATCTCACATGATCCACAGGTACAAATATTTCTATTAATGGTATACATACTGTACAGTGTCAATGCAGTGATGAGGCTATTTATATATTCCTTTATTTAAAGGCTTGTCCTTGCTGAGGTCTGTAAGAAGTTTTACAGATTTAAAAATGAAACTTCTAATTGTACTATGTATACATGGAGATACTCATTATGAAATTAATGGCGTTTTCTATAACATTGTCTTTGAAACTAAAAATTTAAATCTAATTTATTTTAAATCCTGCTAAGTTGGTCTTCTTTTCTTTCAGATTGATAATCAATTACCAGGTGCAATGTTCCCTGTTGTATTTCATCCCGTTGCCCCTCCAAAATCTATTGCTTTGGATTCAGGTAAGTAAACAACATTAAGTTGAAATATAGGTATACCATATTTATAAATGTTAAATAGACATTAGTTTAACCTTGTATAAAGCATGTTTTTTTCCTTGTGCTCCTTCTTCTCTTAGAGCCCAAACCTTTTATAGATGTGAGTGTCATCACAAGATTTAATGAGTACAGTAAAGTCTTACAGTTTAAGTAAGTAAAGATTCCCCCTGTTTGTCTAAAGGAATTTAAAATAATAATCTACCTTGAAAATAAATTTTACTCTATTTGAAAGTGACTCTTATATAAAAATTATCTTCCAACTGAACATATTAATCCACTTTTGGTCAAATAATCTTTTATGCTTCAACTTATTTTACTAATAGTCTATACATATTTTAAAGTAAAGAATTCCTTCAGCCATCTTCTACCCTTTGTAACCCCAATGAAAATATAAAATAGTACGTGAAATATAAATGATATATGTATTTGTGTTCTTTAATGCAATTGCTGTGAACTTTAAAAAATGGATAATACATGCTATATCATCTAGTTGTGTTTGTCTCTTTTATGGCATGATAAATATGGCCACTGGGACTTCAATGCTAAGTGTTAATGCATCAGTATTACCTTGAGTGAAGCTTTCACTGTAGTGAAGAAGTCTAAGTAGGCTTTGATCTTATTAATGTAATTTTAAAGAGATGAAGGAATGAGATTTTAACTGTGGCTTTTGACTAAAATCAGTTTTAACGTTAAAAATTACAATGTTTAATAAAAATCCTTTTCCATTTTTAAAAACAAATTTTCCTTAGGTATTTTATGGTCCTCATTCAGGAAATGGCCTTAAAAGTTGACCAGGGGTTTCTGGGAGCCATTGTAGTACTGTTTACCCCAACAACTGACCCTGAAGCTGAAAGAAGACGGGTAACGATTTTTGTTTCTTTGGAAAAATATAAAATTTAAAAAAATTTTAATTAGGCTTTTTTGAACAAAATCTAATTGGTAGTAGAGAAAAACAATTAAAGTAGAAATTCTTGATTTTTTTTTCTAGACAAAGTTAATCCAGAAAGATATTGATGCTTTAAACACAGAATTAATGGAGACTTCAATGACTGATATGTCAATTCTCAGTTTCTTTGAGCATTTCCATATTTCTCCTGTTAAGGTTTGTGGTAATTATTATTTTGAAAATTTGGTGGAATTGTTGTAGAACTTTTAAAGGATCTGGGTACAAATTTTAATTTATTACATCACATATTTGGTGAGAATTTTATTTGATTAATCGGAATAATTTAGACAATTCTCTGTAACATATGTACAGCCTTAATTCCCACAGAGAAACCACCAGAGCATGTTCCCTAGTCTTGAATTAATAACCCCTTTATTCAAAGAAGAAGCTGATGAAAGCATTTCTTAATTAAGCGTAGACGTGCTTGCCAACGTTTAATGTTTTGGTTGCACTTTGTAACTGCTATCATCGTCTGAACAGAAAGCTATAATGGGGGCCCAAACCAGAATGTGAAAATGCTGAAGTAGGTATTATACTGTTGATGTGGTGTTTTTCCCCCTTCCAGAATTTGATTGTAACTAAGGGAGTGGAAAATTGGATACCTTTCTCTTGCCTGATTTTGTGCTTTGTGAATCCATTTCCTTTTCCCCTTTTGTTGTTCTTTTTAGCTTTTATGGAGAAAGGTGACTGCTTAGTAAATTCACAAATGCTGTCAACCATAATGCTCTAAACTTGTGTAATGGGCCAGATTTACAATTAAGCAACTCTTTAAAATATTGATGATCCTTTACATTCTCAAAAACTGTTTACAGAACGTTATTTTTAATTGCATTTACCAGTCCATTCAGCTAAATGAATGAATTTATAAAATGGAATTATTATTTTTAATTAATAATGTATTAGTTTGATGACATCAGAAATATTCATAGTGTCAGGTTTAAAATTGATAATGTTTCATGCGATAGGATATACACAATTTCTTCCTCATTTTTAAGTGAAAATCAGTTGTTTATGGGATTGAAGAATACCTTCAACAAATACTTGCTGCCCATTTTCAAAGTTGCTGTGGAGGTATAATATGACTTCACGGAGTTTATAATCTAGGGAGGTACTAAAGTTTGATAATATACTTACTCATGTTCTTAACCACACTGGAATTTGTGCCATGAAGTTGAATGATGAAGAATATGAACCACAATTATTGTCTTAGTCCATGGTGACTTTGCCTATAGAAAGGCTGGATCTCTGTTCAGCTGAGCTTACCTTTCCTGGATCCCAACACTCCCTAACTCTGCACATGGGCAGAAGTTCACATCAAAGAAAAAACCAACAGCCAGTCTTTCCTGGCCTTGCCCAACTCCACTTTACTTGAGCTTTATGTTGCTTAGGTGATATGTGGAATGACAAAATGGGAAGGGAGAGTCATCTGCTTTATTTATACATGCTGAATTAACCTTTTGCTTGTGTCTACTTGCACTATTGCACTAATTAGAAACCAAATGAGAGTGTGAAAATCTCGTGCTTGCTGAGTTGGAGGGTCCATGGAAACTGAAAACGTTATTATTTTTTTAAAAATTTATTTGAAAACTTAATTATTGTTGCCTTACTTGTCATGTTATTGTTATTAATTGTTATTTTGATTATTACATAATTTTTATTGTTATTTGTTGCCATAAGTGATTTACCTTAATTGGATGAAAATAAATGATTATCCATTATTTTGACTGGTAGACTACTTGTGTGCCAGTTGACTTGGTTTTCTTCTTAAGACAATTATGCCATTTTTATAAAGTGTGTTGGTCTCTTCCATATGAACACAATGGTACTTATACACTTTGAATAAAATTAGAGCTCTGTTTTTGGAACAGAACAATTTGGATTTTATCAAAAAGTAAAGAGAATCAAATATAAGTGGGTTCTGTATAATGTATAGAGTGACAAATAATAGCTTTCACTGGGACTCTAATTGAAAGATACTTTTTTTGTATCTGGAAGACCTGGTTCCTATGTATGCAATTCTTTTGCTTTTAGCTTTTGTTTATTGAACGTTATTTTTCTTTTAGTTGCATTTGAGCCTTTCTTTGGGTTCTGGAGGTGAAGAATCAGGCAAAGAAAAAGAGGAAATGATTGCAATTCATTCTGCCAACCTGTTGTTGAAAAGCATAGGTGCTACTCTGACTGACGTGGATGACCTTATATTCAAGTAAGACTTCTGTTAGAGTACGTTGGGAAGTAGGTGTGCCAAGGTCATGTTTCTGGATACTAATTCTCTCCATTTGTGCAATGTTAGCTTAGAAAAATAGTAACTCTTACTACTCAGACTTGAAGAGTTTGGCCCATTTCTAATTATACTCTTCAGATATGCTTATTTTATTCATAATGATAAGGTAGAGAGTCATATTTTCTTTGTGTACTCATACGTACATGAATATAGAATAAAATTTAATTATTTTTGTTGTATATTACAAATTGACCATGTTTTAAAACAGACCTACATTTATAAATATGTGGCAATAGGGTGAGATTTCAGTATAATTATACAGTAAAGTATAGATAATAAGAAAAACTTGCTACATTTAATAGGAGAATATGTATCTGTGCCACATATATGTAAATTAAATATTAATAAATGTTTATTGAACTGAATTTTCAACAATGGTATTGGAAAAAGTAGTTTCATGGGAGGAAAAAAATCCCATTTAGATCATTTCACCTTATATGTACACTACCAAATTTCAGAGAAGACAAAGGAATAAAACAGAAAATTCAAACTTAAAAGACTAAAAAAAAGTTAATTGCTATCAAATCTCTGAATAGAAGATGTCTTTATAAGTTTAAAAGCAATGACAAAAATCCCAATGAAATACAAGATAGGTTTAACTACATAAAGATTAAACACTACAACAAAATCAGTGAAAACAATTAAAAAAATAAAGAACTGGGAAAATACGACAGAGAGAGGATTAATAGTCTTAATATTAAATGTTGATAAGAAAAACCTAAAGATTTCACATATAGAAAAAATTAGCCGGGCATGGTGGTGCATGCCTGTAGTCCCAGCTACTCAGGAGGCTGAGGCAGGAGGATTGCTTGAGCCCAGGAGTTTGAGGTTACTGTGAGCTAGGCTGATGCCACAGCACTCTAGCCCGGGCGACAGAGTGAGACTCTGTCTCAAAAAAAAAAAAAAAAAAACCTAAAGATTTCAATGATATAATGGCCAGTGGACAATAACAGATAATTCACAAAATGAGAGATACAGAGGCTGATAGTTGAAATGTTTAGCCATATTATTTATCAAAGAATACATGCAAATTAAAAATTGTTAAAAATTATTAAAAATTTCAGAATATGAGCAATGGTAGTACTAGAGCAGGTGAGTCTGAGAAATGAGCACTTTCTTATACTATTGACATTAGTGGAAAACTTCATGTATTAAGAACCTTACATATTTTGGTTGTTTTTCACTCTAATTCTCTTTTTGGGAATTCTTTAAAAAAAATAATCTTGAAATGCAATCAAAGAGTTATATTCAGTATACACATAGCATTGATTATTATGCCAAAAATCAGAAATGTCTGACAGTGGAACAATTATTTGCAACAACACTGCCACATGGTAGACTGCTATGCATCCATTAAACATGGTTACAAAGAATTTTAAATAACATATAGAAATACTTACCCATAATGTTGCGTGTAAAAGTAGCATACAAAATGTTTTAAATATTTTATAATTGCATAGTAAAGAAAAAAATTTAAAGTGAGAAATGAGGAAAAGAAAAAACTTTAATATCTACTGTGTGGTGAGATTATGGTTGACTTTTTTAAAATTTATTTTTGTTTTGTAGAAACAGGATCTTACTCTCTTGCCCAAGCTGGAATTTCCTGGCATGGTCATGGCTCACTGTAACCTTGAACTCCTGGGCTCAAGGGATCCTCCTGCCTCAGCCTCCTGAGTAGCTAGGACTATAGGCATGCACCACCACACCTGGATAATTTTTTAAAATTTTTTATAGAGATGGGGTCTCACTATGTTGCCCAGGCTGGTCTTGAATTCCTGGCCTCAGGCAATCTTCTGTCCCAGCCTTCCAAAGTGCTGGGGTTACAGGCATGAGTACCGTGCCCAGACTATGGTTGACTTTTTAAAATCATTTTACTCTTTATGTATTTATGAAAAACTTATATGGGAATGCATTGTTTTTATAATAATTCAGTTACCATGCTATTAAGATATCAACCATGTTATACATGGTAGATGTACAAAGTTAATTTTGAAAGCATTAGCTGTGATTAGAATTAGCTGTCATTGAAATTTTAAGTCCCTTTTCCATCATGTAATCTTAGTATCTTTGAATCTTTCCTTTTTCTCCTTCTAGACTTGCTTATTATGAAATTCGATATCAATTTTACAAGAGAGATCAGCTCATGTGGAGCGTTGTTAGGCATTACAGTGAACAGGTAATTTCCTATCATAGTAGCTCATAAAGAATATACTTCATAAAATATCAAAACAAAACATTTTTATGAGATTGTGTAGTGTGCAATAATGTTTACCTAATTTACCTCAATGTGCAATCTCATTACTTAATGGTTTTCTTGAATGATTGATTTCTATTTATTTAGTCTACCCCTGTTTATACACCTTTTTAAAATTTCCTCCAGTTCCTTTTTTCCTTTGCAATTATACTTTTACCAGTTTGGGAAGAATAGTGATTTTCGAGTCATTATACTTGATTTCTTCAGTGATTATAGTTTCTAAGTATAATCTAATGTATTACAAGAGAAATTGCAAGCCAGTTTCCTCCCCGTGCCTCAGTTACTCTGTGGTTCGCGTATGTACGCACAGAGACAGAGTAGTAGTTGCAGGCTGCTTGGGTACCATGGCTATACCATGGAACTGCAGGGTGACATTTCTCTTTCCTTCCACTACTGGAGCATCCTTTCTCCTATGGTGTGTATAGACATTATGGTTATTATATTAATGTATTCAAATAAGGATATATTTTCCCTTTTTTTGTTTTAGTTATTGATTATTCTCTATCTAGTTTAATATCAGTAGTCATGACAAGGTAATAAAAGCAACTAACAATTATTGAATTATATATTCATTTAATATGCATACTCATCCATGCACAGTCAGTGTAACCTCCCATTTTGTAGATGAGAAGACTAAGGCTCATAGTTACTACGTGACTTGACCAAGGTCACATAACTGCTCAATGGCAGACTGTGCCTCAAACATAGCTCTGTCTAATTTGAAAGCTCCATATAAAGTGTTAGCATATGGCCTGGCACTTAATGAATGATCAGTTAACGGGTGTGGTGGTAGTTATGCCACACAGCTTATCTTTAACACAAACTTAAATTTTATCAGTAACCCCCTTTTTTTCTACTTCATCATGATGTTATTTCTTACAACAGTTTTAAAGGACTTAATTTAATTATTTTTTTTCTTTAGTTCTTGAAACAGATGTATGTCCTTGTATTGGGGTTAGATGTGCTTGGAAACCCATTTGGATTAATTAGAGGTCTGTCTGAAGGAGTTGAAGCTTTATTTTATGAACCGTTCCAGGTATTGATATTTCATTTATTTTAAGGATAGGTATAGAAAAATGGATGTTCTGTTTTTTAATGACAAATAATAGTTTGTATCTTAACTGTATTTAGGAACTGAATGTTTAATGTTAAAATAACAAAAATACATCAATTTAATATTTTCATTTAAAGGTATGTGAGATAACATTGAAAGATTGTTTAGAATTAGATAAACCTTTGTCCTGGGAGGCCAACTTCAAATTTCTAGTATTTGGGCAATAAAACAGGCCCACATTTTCCAGAATTTAATGTAGTTGTAAGGATATTTAGAGTGCTGGGTAGATTAAGACTGTGTCAAGGCTGTTCCCCCACTGTGGAAAGGACTAATGGGGCATTAAAAGCAAACTTTGTTTCATGTTCAAGCTTTTATCTAACCTGTTCACCTCCACTTAAAGGATCTAGGAGCTCCATTTTTGAGGGTTTTAGAAGAATAAAGCAGAGAGATGAATGGGAGAACAAGAGAGTAAAAAATGTATGAGCTCTTAGTCTTGTTACCAGTGCAGCTTGCTTTAGCAGTCTGATAAACCTTTGTCCTGGGAGGCCAACTTCAAATTTTGAGGAAAGTCAGTGATTTACACTCATCCAATTTGTGTCTTATAGAATTTGCTAAGATCATGTGGGCCGAAAGTATCTTCAGACACAATAGATATTCTGTCAATATTTGGGGTAGAAGGTGAAAATTGTTTCATCACAATGTTTGTGGATCTTTGCAGATTCTGTATCTTCATGGAAACCCTGGAATATTAGATTAAACATCTTATTTTATTTTTTGGACAGGGTGCTGTTCAAGGCCCTGAAGAATTTGCTGAGGGTTTAGTGATTGGAGTAAGAAGTCTCTTTGGACACACAGTAGGTATGTATCATAAGTTTGTGTATTTGTGTGTAATTTTATTACGTTAGAAAATGCTCGGTTATAAAAAAATGCTTATATTTAATAAAAAAGAGATTACTTTCCTAACACTCTCTTTTAAAAGACATATTTCCTTGTTTTATAATGGAAAATAAGTCAACAGTGTCCTGCTGGTATTCTTCTATGTCTTTGTGGGGTTGAACCCCAATGTACTTTAGTTTTATTCTTCTTCTTGATAGATGGGAGAAATTAACTTCGGCATTTTTTTATATGAGACAGATTTTTAAGCACCTGTTTAAACAATTGCATGCTATATATTGTGATAAGGCTGTTAAAAGAAATATGACTTACTTCTCTGAATCTTGTGTTAAAAATTTATTTTATTTTAAATTGACATATAGTAATTGTACATATTTATGGGATACAGAGTGAAATTTGATATATGTAGACAATGTGTAATAATCAAATCAGAGTAATTAGCATATCCATCATCTCAAACATCTATCATTTCTTTGTGTTGAGAACATTAAAAATTTTCTCTACTAGCTATTTGAAAATGTACAATAAATTGTTGTTAACTATCATCACCTTACAGTGCTGTAGAACACTAGAACTTCTTTCTCCTATCTAGTTGTAATTTTGTATGCATTAACCAATCTCTCCTCATCCTCTTCTCTCCCCCTATATTTCTACTCTCTGCTTCTGTAAGCTCAACTTTTTTAGCTCTCACATAAGTGAGAACATGTGGTATTTGTCTTTCTGTGCCAGACATAGTTCAACATAATGTACTCCAGCCTCATTCATGTTGTGGCAAATGACAGGATTTCATTTTTAATGGCTAAATAGTATTCCATTGTGTATACATACAACATTTTCTTTATCTATTCACCTGTTAATGGACACTTATGTTGATTTCATATCTTTGCTATTGTAAATAATGCCACAGTAAACATGGGGGGACAGATACCCTTTTGATAGACTGATTTTCTTTCCTTTGGATATATACCTAGTAGTGGGATTGCTGGATCCTATGGTAGTTTTATTTTTATTTCTTTGAGAAACCTCCATACTGTTTTCATAATGGTTGTACTAATTTACATTCCCACCAACAGTGTATAATGGTTCCCTTTTTTCCACATCCTCACCAATACTTGTTATCATTTGTCTTTTTGATAATAGCCATTGTAAGTGGAGTGAGGTGATATCTCATTGTGGTTTTGATTTGCATTTCCCTGATGATTAATGATGTTAAGCATTTTTTCATATACTTGTTGGCCATTTGTATGTCTTTTGAGAAATGTCTTTTCAGATCCCTTGCTCATTTTTTAATAAGATTGTGTTTTTTTGCTGTTGTTTGAGTTCTTTGTGTATTATAGGTTTTAATCCCTATCTTTTGATAGGTGGTGCAGCAGGAGTTGTATCTCGAATCACTGGTTCTGTTGGGAAAGGTTTGGCAGCAATTACAATGGATAAGGAATATCAGCAAAAAAGAAGGGAAGAGTTGAGTCGACAGCCCAGAGATTTTGGAGACAGCCTTGCCAGAGGGGGAAAGGGCTTCCTGCAAGTGAGTCTCCTGCTAAATCTTCAAGAAATCCTCAACTTTTAAGTACACTTTAAAATATGTACTCTAGTTGGTTGGTTGAAATTTAGAATGTTACTTACGAGTCTCGGTTAGTCAGAGTAGCAGTGACGGTAAATTGCGGACTTTCTGGTTTCTTTTTTACTTGTCTTCCCCATCATCACCACCAAATCTATCCCCCACATTTCCAGACTTGATTTGACATCGGGCTAAAGTAAAACTGTAATGTGGACAGGTTAGCACTAGTGTGGAAGACGAGGACGGAAGGAGCAGAGATGTACAGTAGTGAAGGCAGCTAGAGGGAGGAGGAAGTTTTCAGACCATTGATAATTGACCGTTTCCGTGGGAGGGATGTGTGAGAGTTAACTGTTGATAAACTGGGAACTGCCTTTCATTACTTTTAAAATTATACAGGTAATGTATGAATCCTGTTTAATTATAGAGGTAATGTATGATATTCTCCTTATAATTATGAGAACTTATAAGTTCTCCTTTTAATAAGTAAGTAAAATAATATAGATAAGGCTGGAGTACTCTTTACTCAGGTCCCCCTTCCAGAGGAGCTTCATCTTTTCAATTTAGTGCGTATCCTTTCAGTTCTATTTATGTTTGTTTATAGAATATACACGTAGTTTTAGTTACTACTGTTACTTGACAATTAAGAATGTATTAATGGATTTATGTGTTACTTTTGGAAATAATTTCAGGAAACTGTCACTGCTGTGTGTGACAGTGATTTGTAATGTGTTCTCTGAAGTGCTTTATTTGTCAAATTATTTGCCGTCCTTGGGAGTTCCCTTTATTTACAATTTTCTACATTTTCACTAAGTTACAAAGTCATCTCGTTAAAATTTATAATTATATCTTAGAGATTATTTGGCTCAACTTACTCATTTTACTTATGTGGAAACTGAGGGTTACAGAGATTGTATCAACTGCCCATGGTCACATAGATGACTGGTACCAAGCCCAGATTTAAAATATTTCCACCTGCTTTTCTGTTATAAAATTTTGCTCCTGCAAAGTACTTTCATTTAAAATTTGCTATGATATAATATTTATAAAATCATAGTGCTTACTTATATGTGTCATATATGTTGTTCACATTATCAGATAAGTCCTTAATTTTTTTAAAGTTATTTCCAGCATGTCTGTAGAGACCTCTAGTGGTTGGTTTAAAACTAAGCACCATTTATTCAGTGGAGACTTTATGATTGATTTCTCTTTCAGGGAGTTGTTGGTGGAGTGACCGGAATAATAACAAAACCTGTGGAAGGTAGGTTGAGAAAATTTCCTTCTTTTACAAAGTCTGAAGAGTTGATGCATGGGAAACATAATAGATATTACTGCTACTATATGTTTAAGAGAATTACTGACTGGATTTTCTATTCATAGTCTTAAATTGTTTAATAAGTATATGTTCCTCAGAAAGTAGAGAGGTTAAGTAGTGGACTATAATTAAGACTTTGAATGCCATTTTCAGCAGGGCCATAGATAAACTAGATTCCTTTGGGCCCTCAGTACCAATTAACTCATTTTTTTGTTTGTTTTATTCCATTAAAAAAGTACATTGTTTATTCAGTGTAATTCCTATCAAGATCCCAGTTGGTTTCTGGCAGAAATTGACAAGCTGAATCTAAAATTTATTTGGAAATTCAAGAGACCCAAAATAGCTGAAACAATGTTGAAAAAGAACAACAAAGTAGGAGCACTTACAGTTCCCAATTTTAAAACTTACTATAAAGCTACAGTAACTAAGACAGTGTGGTACTGGCACAAGACGATAGGCATATAAATTAGTGGAACATAATTAAGAATCGAGAAATAAACCCTTACATTTATGGTTAAGTGATCTTTGACAAGGGTGTCAGATAATTCAATAAAGGAAGAATAGTCTTCAACAGATGGTGCTGGAACAACTTGATATCCACATGCAAAATGAAGAAATTAGACCCCCGCCCCTACCATATATAAAAATGAATTCAGAATGGATTAAATACCTAAATATAAGAGCAAAACTATAAAACTCTGAGGAAAATGTAGGAGTAAGTCTTCATGACCTGGGTTAGACAAAGCCTTCCTAGATACGACATCACAAGCACAAGTGACAAGTGAAAAAATAGATAAATTGAACTTCATTGAAATTTAAAACTTTTATGCTTCAAATGACACCATGAAGAAAAGGAAAAGAGTTCAAAGAATGGGAGAAAAATTTTGCAAATCATACATCTGATAATAAAAGACATATCTAGAATATATAAAGAATTCTTACAACTTGATAATAAAAAGACAAATGACCCAATTTAAAATGGACAAAGGATATGAATATACATTTCCCTAAAGAAAATATGCAAATGGCCAATAAGTACATGAAAGGCTGTTCAACATTATTTGGCATCAGGAAAATGCAAGTCAAAACTATAATGAAATACCTACTAGGATGGCTGTAATCAGGGTTGAAGAGGATGTGGAGAAAGTGGAACCCTCATACACAAGTGGTGAGAATGTAAAATAGTACAGCCACTTTGGAGGAAAATAGTCTGGCAGTGCCTCAAAAGGTTAAACACAGAGTTGCCATGTGACCCAGCAATTCTCCTAGGTATATATTAATACCCAAAAGAATTGAAAACAGGTGTTCAAACAAAAATATGTACGCGAATGTTCATAGCAGCATTATTCAAAATAGCCAAAAGGTAGAAACAATCCATCACCTGATGTATGAATAAACAAAAAGTGGTATATCCATACGCTGGAATATTATTCAGTGATAAAAAGGAATCAAGTATGGTACACACTACAAAGTGCATGAACCTTGAAAACATAATGCTAAGTGAAAAAAAAAACAGTCACAATAGACCACATATTATGTGATTCCATTTGTATGAAATGTACAGAACAGGCAAATCCATAGTGATAGAAAGTATCTCTAGGCTGGTTGCCTATTGCCTAGGTCTGGGAGTAGGGAGGGAAAGGGAGAAGGGGAGGTAAATTGGGTAGGATTGTGTGGGCAGGGGTTGGGGGAAATGGGGATTGATTTTTAATGTACATAGGATTTCTTTTTGAGATGATACAAATTTTCTAAAATTGTTTGTGGTGATGGTTACACAAGTCTGAATATACTAAAAAGCATTTAATTTGTATACTTTAATGGGTAAATTTTATGGTATGTGAACTATTACTATATTTCAATAAAGTTGTTATATTTTTTAAAAAGTATACTGTTTGAAAAATCTTTTGATGGTCAGTGTAGAAAAAGAGAATGTTTTCTGGTCAGTCCTTAGACCTTCCAGTTACAGGTACTGATGAAACTCTTAGATCAGTACTTCCCAAACTTGAGCATGCCTTAGGATTACCTGGAGTGCTTATTAAAACACAGATTGCTGGCCATACTGCCAGAGTTTCTGATTCGGTAGTTCTGGGATGGGACCCAAGAATTTGCATTTTTGACACACTTCGAGCACCACTATTTTATCATGGTAGGATTAAATTTAAGTTCTTTAGAAAGCCAAATTCTCGAAGCTTCCTGGATAAAACAGTTCAGTATTTGGCTCAGGTTTTTGTTGAGTTCAAGCTTGCTTATTTTAAAGTATCTTTATACATTCATTGTCCTTGGTTTTCCAAAGGTGCCAAAAAGGAAGGAGCTGCTGGATTCTTTAAAGGAATTGGAAAAGGGCTTGTGGGTGCCGTGGCTCGTCCCACTGGTGGAATCATAGATATGGCCAGTAGTACCTTCCAAGGCATTCAGAGGTAATTGAGTGCATACTGTGTGCAAGGTATGTGTCTGTGTGCTAGTTGTTGCTAGGAGTACATAAATTGTTTAGATACTTTGGCTGCTCTTAAGGATCTTAAAGTCTAATGGAAAGCTATGATAGCTTCACGAAGTAGAGGGCCACCAAAAATGAATAAGAAAAGGCATTTTTTTAGTGGCTCAGTTTCTCTTTTATTCGACAAATGTTTATTGGTATCTACCATATGACAGGCGTGGTGCTAGACACCAAAAATACAAACAATAGATGACCTAGTCCCTGCTTTTCTTATTTTGGTATTTTATTTTCTTTTAGAAAATAGTGGGGGCTTGGAGTCAGATTCTCACACATTTTCTTACACTTATACTGATGCCTTATTTAGGGCAGCAGAATCAACTGAAGAAGTGTCTAGCCTCCGTCCCCCTCGCCTGATCCACGAAGATGGCATTATTCGTCCGTATGACAGACAGGAATCTGAGGGCTATGACATTTTTGAGGTAAATTCTGTTCTTCATGGTCAGGAGTGAAATAGAATTTTGAAGATTTCTAGGTCCAGGATTTCATAGGTGGTTCTTAAAGTTCCTGATTCATAAACTTCTTTGAAGGATTACATGTGATTTGTAGAGTAGAATCTGATTATTTACTTGTTTTTTTTATTTTAGTGTAACATGTTCAATGGAAATAACTGATAATTTTTTTCTGCACAGGAGCAAGGCGTTTTTTGTGCAGAATAGATAATGTTAAAAGAAGTCATAGGCTATATCACTGTTTTTGTGATAGCTCATTTAGTTTACATTGTTAATTTTGGCTTCCTGCTTTGTAGCTAATTGTTGGAATTTCACTGCTTCCATTTCTCCCAGCCAAATAATTTATTTGCACTACTTTGTAAATTTAGATTTATTTTGATAAATAGAACTAGAGGAGAGAAAAATAAGATGATATAGTACTATCATCTGGCTAAACCTTAAAAAAAAGTAAGGATTTTTTTTGCTTTTATTTTAGTTTTAACTTTATTATATTTAGGTAATGTATACATATATAAATTGCTATTCTTTCATGACTGGCTGTCTCCCAAAAGAAATTTATTAATATTTTTCTACCTGAACTTTAAAATAAAATGACTCTTAATTATTCTTAGCCTTTGGTTTTTATTGTATATGACTACATTTTAAAATCATTCTGCATGCTTCTAACTTTATTTTCTTTGTTTTTCTGCCTACACAGCAAGAACTGGGAATACAGGAGTAAATGTTTCCTATACTACTACTTGATTTCATCCTTAAAAATCAAAACAAACTGTGGTATTTACTGTGTGTGAATTAGATTGTCAATTTTAATGAAATTTTCTTTACAATGCTCACCTCCATCTGAACTTTTTATAGTAGGGACTTGATGACAAATAAAAATGGTGGTATTCCTATTCATATTGTCCAGGAATAAGATCAGTATAAAAGATTAAAGGGTGCAGGAAATCAATTCTCTCCTCTATTTAGTGGGTGAAAGACTTTATTGAGCTCAGAAGTAGATATTTTTCCTATCATTTTGCAAATTTTATCTTTTCTTATGGTGTTCATGTACATTTCGGTAGTTGAAGACCAGGACAATTACTATGTCCAGTCTAGTGCATGTGTTCTTTTTGTTTGTTGAATCCTAATGATAGAATTATTAACACACAACTTTCTGTTTCACAGGTCACTCTAAATATACTCAAACTATGGGACTACTAATTGGGCATATGTTTTAATAATTGAAGTGTCAGTTGCTCCAACAGTAGTTGGCACATGAATTTTGAGGATGTGTTCCTCAATCTCTCTTTTTCTTTAACCCTTTGGTAATGTTGCTAAATAAACGACAGTCATTTTATAATTAAGTTATATACGTTCTCAGCCTTTAGCATTTATGCTTTTGAAAAATTGAATCTCCTTGTTATTCTTATTTCATAATTATAAGTTTAATTAGTGTAAATAGAAGTAGGACATATAATTAGGCAAATTGAATATATAGATGTCTTTATTTTTATAAACTAACCCTTTTTGTTTTTAAATCGTTAGAGAAGAAATTCATAAAAAAGATTCATTATCTTAATGAGAATAAAAATAATTATCATCTCGAAATTAGTGCCCCCATAGTTAATTCTCAAAATAAGTATGTTTTACTTTCTTTTTTAAAATAAATGATGGAAGTGTTTAATTTGATTTAGCAGTGTCTTAGCTAGCAACTTTGATGCTTCTCCCCAAAATCGAAACCAAAGTATAAACTTAGACTGAATGTGTTGTATATTTGAAGAGAATGAAACTGTTAACATACAACTATTCAGTTGCATTATTTATTTTGAAAACCATAGTTATCAATATAATAAATTGAGTGATTTATATTTAAAATAAGCACTTTAAAGAGGAAAGACCAGCCTGTGCTGGATACACAAAAGAAATGACTCTGTCCTTAAGGGACCAAGTGTAACAAAACATGTAAATATTAAGTGTAACTGATGAACTTTTCTTGGGCCTACATATTGATGGTTGGCAAAAACGTCACTGCATGTATAGTTTTCTGTGGGAATCAAGCACAATAACTAATTCAAGGTGTTGTCTTAAATCATTACTAATAATTACCCTTCCTCACATTCTTTGATTAAAGTGACATTTTTTAAATTTTCCTGGATATATTGCTGTTTTAATGAGACTTTTGGGAATTCCTAGAACTCGTTAAGATTTTTTTCCTTTACTTATTGCTTACTTACTTTTTGTTTAGCTTTTTATGTTATTAACCTTTTCCTTGTGATTTCTTTTTTTACAACTATGTCAATAAGCACAAAACATCAAGAAAGTTTTTGTTATTTTAGCTAGGTATAGTCATATTGTCTGATTTATTAGTTTTTGGTAAGATATCAGACAACTTTTAGACTTTAATGTATTATTATAATTACTGGAAGAAACAGAGTGGTTATACATTGAGAAGACTTGGTAGTTTTTTCCAAGGGTGGCAAGTGTAGACATGGACAATTAAGAAATTTAGGCTATTTCATCTTTGCCCATCTTGCTGTGATCAGTTAATAGGGTAAGAAGTATTTATTGATTATTTCGACTGTGCTGGATATACAAAAGAAATAAGCTTTCTATCCTTAAGTGTCCAAGTATAACAAAACATATAAATATTAAAGAGGCACCGGAGTGTATAATTATGTCCTGCTTGCCCTTATTATAATATGGACACATTCTAAACAATTTATTTGGGGATCTTTTGATCCCCATTTTGTTTTTCTCCTGAGTATTTCTCTGTATTCTTTAATACTCAGCTTTGAGAGTCACTAAATTATATACTATATTTTTAGGATACATTCTCTACTTACCTTCTGTTCTCCATATATATGTATCTATGTATATACAGTCAGTTTTTTATTTAATATTCATTTTGGTTCACATACTTATGATCATACAGTATTTAAAATGGTGCTCCTTTTTCTTTTTAGTTAAATTTTTCTATGTTCTTAGGAATGCTTCATTGACGTTTTTAATTCTCACATTACCATCTATTGAGGTAATCTTACATTGTCTAGTTGGTGATTCTTAATTCTTGACATTACAGTTGTTTCTGTTATTTTACTAACAGTAATAATGCTGTGATAAACATCATTATACATTTTGTTTTTTTATATCTTATATTCATTTCCTTAGCATTTATTTGAAAAAACTGAATTACTAGGTAAAGGGCTTTTACAATGTATTCTTAAATTCTTTAAGTTGCATGATGAGAAAGGAAAGTGAACATTTTATCAACTAATCTGGTTGTCCGTTGCTTTCAGTGACTGAATATCTTAATCTGAATCTTAGAATGCAGTGGAGTTTTAGTAATGCTGAAAACAAGGTTTTCTAAAATGTATTATGGTGATAAATGTACTTTAAAAACTCTCAATGGCTTGAAGCATAATAGCCTGATAACTAATGAAAATACATACAAGATAGAAAGTGGGTAGTATTTCTGGTATTGTATCTCAAATCTAAATATTTTAACGTATTTAAATTTCAGCCTGAGAATACACTAAATTATTATGTTCATTTCTCATTTTCTCTTTGAAGAAATTGAGACATAAATATTAAAAGATTTTAGGTAATTCACACAGGTGAACTGTGAAACAAGTAACTATAGTGATGAAATCTGCACTCTCTTCTTTAGACTCATTCTAAAGATGAGATCCCATTTCTTCTTTGTGGATTCCTCTTCCTTGTTCATGGCTTTTTGTAATTGTCACAGAATGACTGGGAACCAAGCATCTTTTGAAAATGTATATTCAAGCATTGAAATAATAACATCAAGTGTACTTTCTTTGCTTGTGATTATATTGATTATATTATCCTTTTAATAATATTGATGTTATAGTCTTGGTTATAAAATGTTAAAGTCTTAATGTATTCAGTATGTTTATGTTCGTATTTTCATATATATTGTCTGATTTTCAATCATGCATTATAGATGTTAATACTGTTTCATTAGCATTCATTATAAAGTCTCTTATTTTTTAATGTGTGTTGACTAATTCAATAGTTTTGAGACAGTTGAAAAAGAAAATAAATGTATTTTAATGGGCTACTATTTATACTTGAATTATTTTATGTTTGTATTTGTCTTTAGAAATAAATTGTGCCAGCTATTTTGAAATCTTAGAAATTCTTTATGTCCATGTTAATATTGTTGTTACATTTTCTTTTCTATCAGAAATATAGTTTGATATAGAAATAAACTCCTCAATGCATGATTAATCTATAAGACCAAATATTCAAAAACATTAAACATCAGTTATCTTGGAATTTTATTATATGTATAATGTCTACCTCTGTGTAAATCAGTGGTTCTTAACCTTTGAGAGGGACCACAGACTCCTTCAAAAAGTTTGGTGAAAAGCATGAACTGTCTTCTAAAAAAAGATGCAGAACCACATTTTCAAAATTTTATATTCTATGTTAGGTAGTTGATAGACCCACTCCAAAGTCCTGCCATGGATCTCTGTTTAAGAACCCCTAAATGTTAATGTAGTAGTTTTATATTAGCATGTGTTTGTTGTTCAATTAAAATGCATAATTATTTCTGGTAGATATTTTAAAATTTCTAAGTTACTATAGAACAAAATACATTTTTCAAGAGGATAACTTGGTAAGCATTTAATACACCTTTTTCTTTTAATGCAACAGTAGAAGTTAATTTATACATATGCTATGAATATTTTTCTAGCTTCATGTGCCAATATGTAGAATTGTACTTTTGTTTCTAATAAACTTTGTCCTAACACTATTGTTATAATTAGCTAATATATGGTATTGTAAATACTGTTTGAATGCACATACTTCCCAAATCTTGAGTCTTGTTTCCCTTTCAGAATCGTATCAAAAAGTTGGAAGGAGAGACTTACCGATACCACTGTGCTATTCCTGGAAGCAAGAGGACAATCCTCATGGTTACTAATAGGTATTAACTTGAAGTGACATTTTTTCAAATACAACTTAGTTGTGTAGATCATAAGAATTTTAAAGGCTAAAATGACAGAGAATTTGGAGAACTATACTTCAGTGTCAATGAAGTATATGTTAATTTTCATAGAATCACAAGAATGTAGATCTAAATAAGTCCTTAGAGATCATCTGTTAGAGATACTGACACTGAGATTTAATATGGTTTAGGAAATTATCCAGGTTATACAACTACTGAGAGACAGAGTCTGGAAAAGGGTTCATACCTGCAGTAGTGGTACCATTATATGTGAATTACAAATGCAGTTATGGAGCGTTAATTCATGATTCATTTTTTCTTACTAGGTTTTATTTGAGGTGAGTAGCATACCCCTTTTAAAGAAGGGAATTATTTCTGTGTGTAAGTATTTTGGAAGTGGTAGATAACTTTTCCAAATAAAAGAACTTTGACTAACTACCAAGCTTATTTTCTTGGGATTTACCTTAGATAATAAACTTATATCCCAAAATTATAATTATTGAATAATAATTTTCAGAACTTTGTAAGTGATGTGTTTTGTAGGATTAAGGCACAGTGCTATTTATAGTAGGCAAAATTTAAATAAATTTCTCACTACTGTGTTTAAATATATTTAGATGAGAAGGAAAGAAAGGAAAATTGAGTAACAGGATTTGGACTTTGAAACCTACAAGTTTTTTGAAAGAAAAGGTTAACCAGTCATATAAGAGAGGGTTATCCAGTCATATGATTTGCCCATTAATTAAGAGGTAAAAATATCCACAAAACAATCTAAAAGGCAGATTTTATGAATTTGACAAGTAATTACTTATTATTTATGCCCATAATTTTATATTGTCTTTATTAGATTAAACCAAAAAACGTTTATTTGTATTATGTATTGCACTTAGCTGAGAGTGGCAATATGTTAATTCTTTTTCATATTCCTTTTATATAGATTAATACTAGACAATGGGAATCATTTAGATTTTTTTGTAATGCTACTTTAGTACTTTGATTTCATGACATTCTGTGGGAATCTTACTGTAAACAGTACATATCTGGTTTTCCTTTAAATAAATTGAAAAATCATAGTAATTTTAAATCTAGTCACTGATGGAGCTTTTTAGGAGACAGTTAATAAAATAATACTCCTTACCAGTGCAATGACTTAGTCTCCTTACTAGCTTTAGTAGACTCTTTCTAACAGAAATTTCTTTGAGATAGTTATCATTATGCTAATCTGTTTGACCTTTAATGAATGGTTACATAAAAGTAGTAACATTTCTTCCAAATTCAGTATTCTTTTTTTTGAGACGAGGTCTCACGTCTAGCTCTATCACCCAGGCTGGAGTACAGTGGTGCAATCAGAGGTCACTGCAGCCTTGAACTCCTGGGCTCAAGTGATCCTCCTGCCTCAGCCTCTAGAGTAGCTGGGACTCCAGGCACGAGCCACCATACCCAGCTAATTTTTGTTTTTATTCTTTTTTTTGTAGAGATGAGGTCAGGGGCTTACTATGTTGCTTAGGCTGTTCTTGAACTCCTGGCCTCAAGCAATCCTCCTGCCTCGGCCTCCCAGAGTGCTGGGAATACAGGTGTGAGCCACTGTGCCTAGACTAACAATGTCAGTATTCTTCAAAATAACTTTTTTATTGCTAAAGTTATCCTTATTCATTGTAGATAATATAGATCAGGTGTCAACAAACTTTCTTTAAAGAACCAGACAGTATGACCTAGCACCTCTTACATTTTCCTGGATAGAGCTTGAGCCCATCCTCCGAAGTGAGGTATCAGAAGAACAGAATAGGCTCCACATGTGCTTGCTATCAAATTGGCACTAACTGATCAACACTATGGTGCTCACAGGGTAGTAATATTCTCCAGGGATTAGGGAGTTGGGGGTGGATAAACTCACAACTAATGGACCCTATGAGCGTTGTAGGGGGAAAAACGCATACCCCAAATCATGATTTGGGTGTGGCAAAGTCATAACATGTAACCAAAATGTTTGTACCCCCATAATATCCTGAAATAAATGAATGAATGAATAAATAAATAAATATAAAATAAAATAAGATAAAAAATAAAGAACCAGACAGTAACTACTCTGCCTTTTTAGTGGGAAAACAGCCGTGAACAACATGTAAGAATAGTCGTGGCTGCATTCCAGTAAAATTTTATTTATTAAACAGTCCTTAGGCTATATTTGTCTCAAAGGCCATCGTTTGCCTACCTCAATATAGATAATTAAAAAGATGAAAATAATGAATCATACATTCTAGTTTGTACCATTTGTCCCAACGTAATTATTAATAGTTATACCTTTTCATTCTTAAAAATGTCCTGGTTTGAACAATAAATTGTATAATCCCTAAAAACATCTTTTACCAGTAATCTCACCATCCAGAGATGACCACTTAGCTGGCATATCACATTTTTGCAGTATATTTTTAAAAACTATGTACAAAAAAATGCATTATGTACATTTTAATAATGTAAGTTTTTCATGTAATAATATACTATGATCATCTTCCCAAACCATTAAATATTCTTTGACAACATGATTTTTAGCGAATATATAATATTGCTTTTGTGTATATACTATAATTTATTCAGATATTCCCTTACCTATTTGACATTCAGTTTTCCTTTTCCCAATATTTTATTATTATATATTTGCAGTGAAATTGTTTTCTATTATTTTCTCAGAACAAATTCTTAAGAGTGGGATCGTTAATTTAAAAGTTGTGAAGGTTTTTGAGGTCCTTTCTGTATATTGCCAAGTTCTTCTTCAGAAAAGTTGTATCTGTTTTTTACATACCACTCACAATATATGCATGTATCCTTTCTAATATATTTTGCTAAGATTAGGTATTATCATTTAAGTTTTTATTTTTGCTAGATTAATGGATAGAAAATGATTTTTGTTTTAATTAGCATTTCTTTGATGACTAATGAGTATGAAAATTTTAATATATCAATATCCATTTGTACTTTGTATTCTGTGAATTACTTGTTCATATCCTTTACTCATTTTTTATTGGTATATTAGTCTTTTTCTTACTGAATTTAAAGAGCATTACATAATGATACATAATGATATTAACCCTTTTTATCCAATGCATTATTTTCATGTTAATTACATATTTGGTTTTCCAATATATAACACTTTTAATTTTTCCATATTGAAATTCATCCAGAATTTGGTCCCATTATTTTTTTTCTTATGGGTTTTTAGAAGCAAAACACAAGTTCTCAAGACCTAAATTTCTTAGGCTATGGCTCCACTAATTGGTCCTAACTCCTCCATGATTTATTTTAGTAATCTTTTTAACCATCAATGTATGACGGATACAGGGACACAGAGATGAAAGTTACATCTCTGTCCCTTCTGCATCTGAAGGGGGGAACCTACAAATTATCAGTGACATCATAGTGTGATAGCTACTAAGAAAAAGTAACATATCAGAGACTCCAAGGACATAGGAAAAACTCTTTGTCCAGTAAGGTGGGGACTAAAATGTCATGGGGAAGGTGTCAGGGAGGCCTTTTAGTTGAGGGAGTGCTTGAGCTGAGTCTTATAGAGTATACAGTTGTCACACAGGTAAACAAGAGGCAAGCAGAGGCATACAACGGTACGGCGCTTGGACCAGTATGATGAGTATGGAACAGCTGGATGGTGGGATGTTAATGGAGAAGTGTTGGGAGATGAAACAAGAGTCATAGGTGGCTGCTCATGAGATCTTAAGGGTTTAGGTTCTATCATTAATGTGATGGAGAATCACTTTTTTAAGGTATAGTCTGTTATTTTATTGTTCAGTATCACAGCTTCTCACACAGATATGTGCACATAGTACACATGAGTAATCTCTGTTTTCTTCCTCACTGAAGACTTGTAAACAAGTATGACGAGGTGTGTAGTTGTGAAAGATCTCTGGCAGCGGTTTGGATGCTGGATTGGAAGAGGATTAGACTGGAGGCAGGGAGGCCAGTTAGAGGCTGTTTAGGTTCTCTGTTGCTGCACGACAAATCACATGAATCCACTTCCAGGCCCATTTAATGTTGTCGGCAGCATTCAGTTCCTTGCAGTTGTCGGACTAAGATCCCTGTTACTTTGACCTCTGTCAGGCAGGGGGCTGCTCTCAGCTCCTAGAGGCCACCCTCATTCCTTGCTGTGTGGCTCCTTCCGTCTTCAAGCCAGCAAGGGTGCTTTGAATCTCTGGCTTCTTGTTTTCTGACTCAGATTTAAAGAGTCTGTGTGATTAGGTCAGGCCCACCCACATAAACTAATTTTGCTTAAAGTCATCAGTGCCATATAACAAAACCTAATCACCCATCATAGTCACAGTGCTGGGGAAGTATACAGGGCTGTATACCAGGGGACGGGGGATCTTGGGGACCATCCTAGAATTCTGTCCACCACAGAGACTGTGGCAGTATCATGGTAGGAGGTGGTAAGGGCCTAAACTAAAAGAACAGGGGTGGAAATAGGGGGTAGATTTAAGAGCTGGGGCTTGGTGACTGATTGGATGTTGAAGAGAAGGAAAGACAAAATGACTGTCTCGTTACATTTACAGTAATTTCAGAAGAACAGGTGATTTTTTTGTTTGTTTTTGTTTTGTAACTTAGTTTGACCTAGTTTGGAGATATAACAGTGGAGCTGCCTCAGCAGTCAGGGGACAGATATAGAAAGACAGATAGATGGATGGCTGGATTAGATGTTATGTATATATAGATATCTACATATGTATGTGATAGATAGATAGACAACTGGAGTTTAGATAAAGAGCTGGAGTTGAAATCTTAGAGACCACTCAGAGTGTTGAGCAGAAGACGACCAAGATTTGAAGCCTGGTAAATATGGAACAAGAGGAAGAGGACGAAGGGAGACCTAAGATGGTAGGAGAACAGTAGTAGTATTGGGATAGTAAAGAGAAGAAAGAGTTTAAAATATTCAGAATAGTGAATTGCATTTGGCACAAGGATTTGTAACAGCCGTCTTTAACTCTTAGCCCTGTCGTCTGATTCTCAACTGGGGCCAGGGCTAGAGGGGTGAGATACACTTCCTAGAAACTGTTTGGAAAGTATGGGGGTGTTGGAGGTTATCACAGTGATTGGAGGACACTACTGGCACGTAGCAGGCTGGGGCGAGGCATGCTGAACTTCCTACAATGCACAACACCGTCCCAAACAAGCCCACGATCTCAGTGGCACCTCTGCTGAGAAATACAGTGCTGGGGTCTATTTTAATTCCCCACACTCCAGTGGTCACCAAATTCATTCTCATCTACCTTCTAAACGTCTAGAATCTAACCCTTCCTCTCCCTTCTTGAAGCCACTGCCAAAATCGAGGCCCTTAGTGTCTCCCGATTGGACAGTTGCAGTGGTTTCCTGCCTTGATTGTCTGCCGCCCATCTCTGTGCCGCCTCCCTCTGCTCACTAGAACGTCACTCTAAAACAAGAAACTTTGTCATGTCATTTTCTAGTGCCTGTAGATTGAAGTCAAAATTTCTTAAAATGACAACAGGATTTTCAAGGTCTGGCAGTAAGCTCGTTTTCTCACCATGTCACCACTGTACACGTCTGGTGCTCCAGCTACACACCTCCGCATTCCTCAAATAAGTCTTCCCTTTTTGTACTCTTAGTATATCAGCGCACTCTTCCCTTTGTCTGGACTGTCATTTCCCCTTTCCCATGTGCAGAAATCCGTCCACTCAGGATTCAGCTCTTGGGTCACCTGATTTATCAGTACAATCTGCCCCTCTCTCCTGTGCTCCAAAAGTCTTGTCTGCACACTGTGTCGTGGCCCTTGTCTAATTGTGCTGTACCATTTATTTATGTGTTTATTTCCCCTGCTAGCCTGTGAGCACTTCTCAAGCAGAAACGTTATCTTCCTTGTTTCTCTGGCATCCTAGATATTTGTTGACTTAACAGTTCTTCTACTTTTCTAGTTTTGCTTTCTGTAATAGAAACTTAAAATCAAGGATAGTTATATCAGTAACTAATCTGAATCACACACTGGGAGATCAATGTGGACTCTTGTTTATTTATTTATAGCTATTGAGTAAAATGGGATACCCTACGATAAAGTGCATCCACGTTAAGTGTTTGAATCTGATATTTATTAATATCGGTAGGTGGAAAGAGAATCTTTGCTGACATGTGAGGTTTGTGACATTTCTTGCATATTCTTTCTTGACTAGAAGGCATGGATGATTGACAATAAAGAGCAATTAATAATTTTTCCAAGTAAAACATTTTCAGGGGCTTCTGCCTTTGTTACTTCCCAGATGAGAGTACAGCCTGTTCCTTATGTGTTTCAAACATGATTACCCTATCAGTTTTTTGGTCAGTTACAAAAAAAAAAAGTTACACTTTTCTGAATTCTGCAAGATTGGCAGAAGGGGAATTTTTTAAAGTTTGCTTCGTTAGTTGAGTAGTTACCATATTTGCTCTTTGACAGTTATTTAGACTTTTAAGAAAATGTGAGGCACTTTTTTTCAGTGCCAGTTTTTATTGTTTGCTAAGCCAGTGCTGCCTGTGCCATCCAGCAGAATGAATATTAGAATAATTGCCTGTCTTTATCACTACCTGTATGTTTTTGTTTTCTTTCACAAAACAGGCGAGTGCTGTGTGTAAAGGAAGTTGAAATCCTAGGCCATATGTCCATAGACTGGCAGTATCCATTTGAAGATTTTGTATGTCCTCCTAGTGTTAATGAAAATGTGCTGAAAATTTCGGTTAAGGTAAGAAAACATGAATCACAGTTTTAGAGCTAAGAATTTATTAAATGAGTGAAAACTGATGCTTTCTGACAGTTTTACAGTTAATTACACAAAATGTTTGAAGGATGAATGCCATCATTATTGTTACTATTATATGCTTAGATGTAAAGAAAGATGTAGTCAGTTATTTGTGTTACTGTACTTTATTTTCTAATGGTTCTCGACTGCATCGGGTGAAGTATCAGTCTGTCTGCCCAAAGAATCAGGATTCTGATATGCTGGTATTTCTTTTTTGGTGAATTAAGCATTAACAAATAGGTTTTTTTAATTCATATGGATACTCATTTTGCTATAATTAGACATTTCTGGGAAAATTCCCTTTTTTAGGCTTTCAGGAGATTATTAAATGATTTGGTAAAAATAAATGTCTAAAATACCCATGTTTTATAATATTTGGCATTCATAGAATACATAACAATACTTCTATGTCTTTTATCCCCATCATTTTCTAAGAAAGAACTTTAATTATGTAGTAAGTAATTAGCAAAAATGATACCCCATGTTTTGCTTAGTTGTCAGACTCATGTACTTAACTTTGGAATATGTGTTTATTACATTATATATATTATAAATGTATTTTCATACCTTTAAAAAAACCATGCATCGTCATTATAAATATGGTAGTTTTTATATTTGTTTTTCCTAAACAATAATGTTATTTCTTTCTATTACTAAAACTGTCTGAAAAACATACCACAAAATTTAATAGAGATGCAAGTACTATTATTCTTTAATTGATGTTAACTTTTCTTTTCATGGAAATTTACAAATAAAAGAACTACCTTGTCACCCTACCATTTTGTAATTCAGCATTACCTCATTGTACAGTGTCAAAATTTAAAGAGTGCCTTGGTGTATGAAACATAATTTTCAAACTAGGAAAGACTGTGTCACTATGCATATATTTTACAGTTTTCTCAGTTATCACTTTTCTTTCACATCAGTGGTGAGAATAGACTCAGTGTATTTTATGTTATATAAGAATTTTATCTATCAGCCAAGGAAATGAAGGAATGGTTTTTTGATTTGTCAAATGTGATGAGTTATCAAGTGGTGTTTCTGTAGGCTATTTATCATAGCCTGCAGAAAGCCATTATTTTATACAGATTGATGTATACTCATCGAATTTTATAAATTCTAACAACTCACACATAGAACCAGTATCCTTATACCAAGATGATTTATTTCGTATCATACTTGAATATGTGTATTTGGTTAATCTACTGATTATAAAATAGACATTTAAGCATCCAATTAAAGGTTACGATTTTTTTTTCTGCCTCAGCATAATTTCTTTTCTGTCGTTGTTTCTTTTGAAACAGGAGCAGGGTCTGTTCCACAAGAAAGACAGTGCCAGTCAAGGCTGTCTTCGGAAAATTTACCTAAAGGATACCACCACAGCAGAGGTAAAAGACTTATTTTAAGAGCACCCTTCACTGTTTTTTTAGCTGAAAGATTAAAAAACCAAAAAGCTCCTGTTACAATTAGCAATACCCTTTATTTCTCCTGAAAGCTCTTCCATTTATAACTTGGTTAGTTATATAAGCTTAAAATACATACTGTGGACTCAGTAGGGAGAAAGGGTCTTATTTTGCATTACGTATTTGGACTGTGTCCTTGTCCTTAGCTATGACCTGTGCGGAGAGCTCTAACTCTGGCTTTTGTACTGTTCTCTTCCACCCAATGAGCCTGTACTTGTCATTACAATTCATAATAAGTATTTTATTTTACAGAGAGCGTATCATGCCATTGAGGATGCACAGTCAACGAGACACCAGCAAAAACTGATGAAGCAATCATCTCTGAGACTTCTCAGGCCCCAAATACCATCTTAATCACAGGTCTCAGGGGCAGAGAAACCAATCATCAGTCTTGTCCATAAGTCACTCTGCTTTTATATTGCTTTTATATTGCTAACGAGACTTTTTCAAGAACTCATTTAGTTTTATTGTTCTCGAATAGCTAGTATTGGGTTTTCTACTTTTTTCCCGTTTAGGTTTGACTCTAATTTTGTAACCATGTGTATGTTACTAATCCACTTCTACGCTGCCACTTGAATGAATCAGACCACTGAAAGAACGTCCCTTCAAACTCAGAGTGAAATTTTCATTAATATTAAAATTGTGAAGCACAGGGCAATAGGCTTATTTTTAATTAAAATCTTTATTGAAGAATAAGAAAGAACCTTAGAATGACTAGTGTTCTTTGAAAGGTTTTACCCATAGACAAATGTTGGACACGCTGACATTTTGTTTAAGGGTGATTTGATTTGTTTAATAATTGAACTGAGATCACATTTTTGGTAAACAAGGTCATTGACTGAAGAAAAGCCACTAAAGGGAGAAATAGCATGTTTTATTTTATTTTTTTCCATGAAAACATTGTTTTTCTCCTAAGAAAACATGTTTTACTTTGGTGCTTATTTTTCCTCCTGGCACTACAATGAAAGAAATATGGACAATCAAACCTTAAAATATCTATACTCTATTTTCTGTAATGGAATATTCACAAAAATTTGGAAGTTATTTACATGCTCTTTCAAGATGAACTTACATGGCACAATTATAATTTGCTGATACATGAAAATATCACATTCTAAGATTTTCAAGGCTCAGAAATATGTAATATTCAGTATTTTTATATTTCCAGAATTGTTTCGTAGAAGTTGAAAGACTTTAAGGGCATCATAAATTAACATTTAATCATAATGCATACCTAGAAATGTATTTTTAAATACTTATTAGGAAGAGTGAAAAGTCTCTAGTTGCTTTCTATATAAGTAAAATAAGGTTGTGAAAAATAAGTATTAGATGTGTTCTTTGAAGGAGCAGGCCCATGAGAGTCAATTCACTGCAGTACTTTTTGTCCTTTTTGCAACTCACTTATGCCGATCAGAGATACACTGCCTATTAAAACTTTAAAAAATACTCAAAAATGTTTAATTTTTTGGATGAACCATTATATTTGCTCATGGTGTTTAACATGGCATTTATTTCAAATTGCTGAAATAATGATGAGATGAAGATGTGGACACACTTGGTTTGCTCTGTTTGTATTTATGTGTGGTAGTGGTTCTGTCATCATTCTTCATGTTTTTAGAGACCTGGCCATAACACTTCAAAAATTTTCCTAGTGCTATTTAATGTATAATCTAAAAAAAGAATGCAATAACTGGTGCCCTAAATGTTTGATCTCTGGTAGTCAGTGCCTTTTCAAGGTCATTCTTTTTTGTCTGTGAAGAAAAGTATCATATATAAAACTTCTAGCTTTAAACCAAATTTCTATATTAGTGGTTAATTGGAATTTATTAAAAGGACCATTATAAACAATTTCATAACAAGCGTTCTAGTATTTTGTGTCTTTAAAACTGACTTAATCAGGAATTTGGGATATCTAGTTATATTTTTCATAGGAATCAGCTATTGAAAACGTCCTAAATATTTAAGAAATTATATTACACTGATAGTTTATTCTAAAAATGCATGAACAAAACATTAAACTAAGAAAAAGTATAGAAATTGATAAACTCATCATCTCAGTTGGTTTAAAAATAAACATTGATGTATTTGTAACGTTTTTATTTGATTTAATCTCCTGGGACAGAAGTAATTCATTGGTAAAGTGTAATAATGTCTGTTGTGCATTTTTAAAATGCTTCGAGAGTCAATTATTTACATATGAATTACTGAGAAAAATAAAACATTTGGTACATTGTTCACAGGTGTGAAAACTTTGTGAGTTTGTGTTATTCAAGTAACATTTGCTTTTACTTTTTGTCTTTGCTCTTTTCATCTTCCGATCCTGTAATAGTGAGGAGTTGGAATAGTTATGGAGGGCTTTAAACATGCTAGTGAGGGAAAGCTTTTTCCCAGGGGTACTAAGCCCCTTTACCACATTGGAGATCAGAGAATGCGGTTGTGCAAAGGCCCAGCTGCACTTTGAAATCCACTGCTGCATTTGCGTTGAGGCCATGCCTTCCATGGTTCCTCTCAGCCACTGAGTGTGGCAAGTATACTAAGACAGGCCCTTCGTGGGAGGCACAGAACTCCTCTGGTAGCTGACTTTGGTTTGAAGACTCTTCAGTGGCCTTATAGAACCTTTCTTAAACAGCATGCCCTGCACGGCAGTCTGGGAGGCTTCTACCCGGTCTCTCTCCCTCTCACCCTCTCTCTCCCTTCGCCTCCATCATCCACTTGGGGCTCAGACTACAAGTCTGAAAACTCACCCAGGCCTGCATTGTCCAGTAGGAAGAATCACACTGAGGACTATAGCAAAGCAGGGGCATCAAATTCAAAAAGGAGCTAAAAACTGGAAGAGTGCACCCAAGCTTTACACAAAAAATTCAGTCTAGGGTGGACTTCCTCACATGTGTTTCCTGATTTATTATTGTTTTCATTTTGAATTATGTATGAAGGGGGACACTATCATCTTTTTGGTGCTTTGGGTCTTCTAAGCTTGTTGATCTGGTGCTGCCTGGACATGTATTTTTAACAAAACTCCATGTATATTTCTAAAGTACAGCCAGGACTGAAAAATAGTGTTCTGGATTTAAAATAATCAAACTTGTAAAGAGCTCTACAGATCTCAATGCCAGTGAAAACACAGAGTTGCACTTACTGCCAGAGCTAGAAGAATCATCTTTTTATTGGGGAAAAACCAAAGATTCTTAGAGGATAGCAGATTGTTTATATGTGGATCATCTGTCCTCTAGGTAGAAGCCCTTTGGGTTGAGAATCACTACCAGAATGACCATCAGTATTGGTGGAAATGTGTTCTGTGCCATGTGTCTTGGCTCTGAGAAAAAATTGAGACTCACTGGAGCAGAGGGAGCACATTTCTCTTGGTCACTGTGCCTTTAAGTGGAAGAATTTAGGCTTATTCTTGAATTCATGCTGGAGAATTCTTATATATGGTCTAATACTACTGTGACGGTTTACTAGTCAAAGTGAGAAAATAAAAACTTTGGATGTAAGACATAAAACTTGCCTCCATTTCTAATGCACAGTCAGAACTAAGAATCAAGTGCCTGGAGTTCTACCATAAACCATCATAGACTTCTACTGATACCGGAAGCAGAAAAAACACGCCCAGGATGCATCCTCTATCACAACTGGCTAGGGGCTTGCCAAAAAAGAACTGGTATTTTTGAGCATTGTACACGACATGATGGAGTAGTAATGTAACAAATAAGCAGGTGTTCAAAGATTGCAATTTGAATGGAGGCTATAAAGTTTTAGCTTCACCAGAGGATGCTGCTGCAAATTAGTTAAGCAAGCACTTATTGACGGTTTAAATTAAGCAGGCACTCTGGAACAGGGCACATTTCCCTTCCCTGTGGAGTACTGTGAGAGTCTTAACCTACTTTGACACTTCTGATCAAATCTTCCCTACTTCATTCAATTCAGAGTGATTCATGCTTTCAAAAATAGTAAAAAAAAAAAGTAGGGCATGAATTAGAGGATTAACATTAGAGTTCTTTTTCAATAAAGACTTCCTGGACTCTGCAGTCGTTTCAATAATCTATGCTATAAGATAGTAGATTTTTTTTTTTCTTTCTTTAAGCCAAGAGAAGGGAGTCATACTTCTCAGATTTTGGAATAGTTGTAAGGTCTATGGAACATTTGAATATATCTGGAATTACTGGTAGTAGGAAGCGATTGCTATGTAAAAGATTCCTATGGTTAAAGTTTAAAGACCTGGGAAACACTCTTTTCAAGTTGACCCCAAATGAACAGAATAGAAATCTTGCGTGACTATTATCACAATCCAGGTGGTGAATATATACCATTGAAACCACTGTTTTGTAAGTGCCCTAAAGACTGACTATGCATGACTTAGACCGGTGAATAAAAATATATTTCCCACTCTACCTAAAATTAATGCTTAATCAATTACTGTTGAATTATAATGCAGCTCTTTTAGAAACACTAACAATGTTTATTTTCTGTTGAATGGATTATTTTTAATTAATATTATCACTCATTTTTTTTAGGAAAAATAATTCACTTGGGGGCTTTTGGTCTAGTTGTACTTAAATTCACAGAATTGTAATAATAGTTTATGGTTGGAAGGGCCTTATATTGAACATAGTTCTGCTTTTTTGTTATCCACTGAGCCCAAATCCTTAGGGCCATCAGAATAAGAATGACTTTTTCTGTATATGGAAGCCTGTATATGGGAGTACTACCTAATAGAATTGAAGAATAGCTTTGTGTCTACCATTCATTCAGCGAGCATGTGAGTCTTCTTTTCAAGTTCTCATCTTTTCCTACCTAAACCATCCCTAATTAGACTTAACTTCAAGTCATCCCATAATCCTGGTAGCGCTCCCTAAACAGTCGTCCGTGTCCCCCTTAGGATAGGGTATACTAATTTGCACGAGTTTACAGGAATCAACTAAGGCAGTTGATACTTGGGTACTTGGACAATTCCATTTTTCTACTACTTTTCTAATAATACTACGTATGCTGATCTGTTAAAGCAATTACTTATATAAAGTAAAACTTCCCCATTATCGTGATTTATTAATCTTACAACTTTTACTTGTATAAGAATATTATCGAGTTATCCCTTTTATCACTTTTACTATAAGTAAGAGTGAATTTGTGTGGTACTATAAGTTTAAAAATCAAAGACCCTAAGAAAATCCCTTTACCTTTCTTAGCCTTAAGTTTCCTCGTTTGAAAACAAGACTTTTAGACCAGATCTCCCTTTTTTTGATTCCTGTGGGTTTTACAAATACTGATAAAATGATCAGTTTAAGAAATATTTTGAAAATGTGTTCCTCCAAGATATGTTCCTCCAAGAAGTTTTTGTTTCCTCTTTCTCGAAGCATCCTCATACACATTAAATATACATTCTTAATAATCAGTGGGTTTTTCGTTTATTTGTTTTGGTTTTGTTTAACTACAGAGCCTTTTAACAGAAAAAAGAGAAAGTATGATAGATTGTTGCTTTACCCCTCGCATGGAAATGGTCTGGATGCAGAGACTGTGGGTAACTGAGTCCCCAAAGAGAGCCCCTGGAAGACCTGTGAGCAGGAATGGCCAAGTCTGGGGCCAGGTTGCTGTGAAAATGGGATCCTCCTCCTCCTCCTCAGAAGCACACCCTTAGCAGTGCC